ATCTCACTTTTTAAAAAAATAGTTTTGTTTTTTGTTTATGTTCCACTTCCATTCACATGATGTTTGATTTTGACTTTCCATCTTTTCATTCGTACGTGTCAAATAGAATGTTAACTTCTGGGAAAGATGAAAAATGATTTGTGAGCTTTTTCATTCACTTTATGTTGTGGAATAATATAATTGGAAAATTTCCCCTGAAAAGTATGGTTCTTTAAATGCCCTCCTACATTCGAAATATGACAAGGTGTTCGGACCAACTGTCATTACTACATAACAATGTTTTATCAAAGACAAGTTGCAACTAATATACAGTGTAAAGAATGAACGCACAAAGGTGATGAAACATAAGCAAATAGAGCTTGAATCGTTACAACACCTTTCGAATATAAAATAAATGACAAATAATATTCCTATTCAAATTACTATTTACAAAGAACAAGAAAAGACAAAAATGAGACGGACACCTGCGTGCAGTGCATATTCACCAACGCACTTGCAAACATGTATTTTATTTTGTTTAATTATGATAAAGCAGCTATAAGCCTTGAATAATGGCAATTAATCAATATCTTGGACAGTCATTTATCGTCATGAGTGCGTCAGGCATCCTTCATCAACACTGCGGCATAAAGCTCCGTTCACCATGTGGACATACAGGAAGATAAGTGTGCGTTTTTTAATGTTTGTTTGCCTAATTTGCTTGCTTTTTGTTTGTTTGTTTTTGTTTGTTTGTTTTTGTTCGTTTGTTTGTCACGTCGGAATTGAGGCCATCTAAATATTTTGATATTCATCGTAGACGTAATTCTTAATACCGTACATCAGCAGATCAATTATATTACAAAATTAATTAAACACGTTCGCAAATACTCTAGACATCAACCTCAAGCAAATTTCAATACTCTCGTCCGTTACCTTTTGAATGTGCGAACATTACAAAGAAATATTACGTAATCGGAACATGCTTCATATAGGTAATACATGCAGTACTGGGCAGGGGCGGCGATTTCTTTTCATGACCGGGGGGGGGGGACGAAATGTGAGGGACGAGGGTGCAGTGGCGTAATGAGCAAAAACGTTGGGGGGGGGTAGAAAAAACCGCATTACCACCACTCTCACATGTTACGCAGGCCCTGGCAACGTTTTTTTCAAAGTGGGGAGGGGGGCTAAATATTTACGATCAGGTAGAGCAAAGCGAGCGAAGTAATGGAGCGTAAATTGGCGTGGGGTCCAGGGGCAAAGCCCTGGCAGGGGTCAAGGGGCGGAGCCCCATGAAACTCAGGGGTTTTAGGCATCTAATTGAGGTGAGATGTGCATCCATGGGGCAGATCCCCCGGGAGTTCAGGGGTTTTAGGAATTTAATTACGGTCAGAGTAGCATATTTTGATACCTTATTTGTGACTTGCACTGACATGCAGGTCACTAATTGGAGTGGGGTACAGGGGGCGGAGCCTCCAGAAGCTCAGGGGGTTTAGGCATGTAATTACGATCAGATGAGCATCCAAGGACCGCCTCAGGGCATTTGGTGGGGTCCAGGAGGCCGAGCCCCCGGAAGCTCAGGGAAAAATGCCATTTCAGCAACATTTGTAATTCACTGGTATCGAATTAGAAATAAACCACGTTTGAATTTAATTTTTTGAGGGAGAACTTCCCCCAAGCCCCCCCCCCCCCCCCCCATCATCATCAATACGCAAGTGCGAGGGAGCATAGTGAATGAGAGGGGTGAAGGTGACGGAAGTTACTATCCTCTCACCAGGCGCGTACGCAGGGGGGAGGGTTTGGGGAGGGGGGGTTAACCCCCCCCCCCTTTGGTAATTTTATGTATGTAAACCCCCCTAAAAAAACCTAACCCCCCCCCCTTTGTTTTTTTTGTTGTTTTTTTTGTTGTTTTTTTTGTATAAAAAAAAAAAAAAAAAAAAAATTATGCCCACGACCGACCTAAAAAAGGTGACCTTACCCCCCCCCCCCCCCCCCAACTGAGCAAAATGTCAAATTTCCAAATTTCGAGACCAAAAAAAAAAAAAAAAAAGTGTCCTCTCACCAGTGAATGAGAGGGGTGAAGGTGACGGAAGTTACTATCCTCTCACCAGGCGCGTACGCAGGGGGGGAGGGTTTGGGGGTTTACCCCCCCCCCTTTGGTAATTTTATGTATGTAAACCCCCCTAAAAAAAAAACCTAAACCCCCCCCCCCCCTTTTGATTTTTTTTTTTTTTTTTTTTTTTGTATAAAAAAAAAAAAAAAAAAATTATGCCCACGACCGACCTAAAAAAGGTGACCTTCCCCCCCCCCCCCAACTGAGCAAAATGTCATATTTCCAATGCAATGCCGAAAACTACGAGTGTTTTTTTTTGGTAATTCCGGATAATTGGATCATTTCTTTTTTTGTTACTATTCATTTATTTTTATTCACATAAAACTGCCTATAATATCAGATAAATAAAATGTTAGTATAAGTATAGGCTAAATAATGTGAAACTTCCCAGCTATGTATACAACTTCTTTTATAAGCTTTCGATCATCTTTAAGGGTATATTAGAACAAAGGAAAGATGTGACATATGGTATGCTAAATTTTTAAAGATAATCATGCTCTTGGCAATAACTCCATTGACGAAGGCTTTTTGTGTCAATGGGAATCGAGTAAAAGGGCCTAATTAATGCTGATGTCCAAAGCACTCCTCAATACCGCCCCTCAATTATATGAGGGATCTTCTTGCCATGAAGCAGTGTCAATAAGGATATTTTTAAATCTCGTTTAATACAAACATTATTATAATAGAAAAATGAATATAGAGATAAGTGATTATGGATTATTATGAATGGCTGACTTTAGGCTTGTGATACTTGAATCATTTTTTTTAAATAAACGACCATGAATTAAAATAAAAAATTCATAAAAAAGTCATATACTACAAATAAAGACTATTCAATTCATATGATAAATCGCACATTGAACATGGAATATTATGTAACATAATTGAATTTAGCATAGAGGAAGGTTTAACAAAGAAGAAAAATACAATTTTGCTAAACAAATTCGTTTGGATATGATTTTATTTCAATATTCAATAAATTAATGTACATTATTACATTCACACAATCGTACATTTGTAAATACCGAAAATTCACTTTTACACTTGCAACTAAAACGTAAAAACACTGCTCAGACGAAATCCTACAACATCTAAAAAGTACACTGTATTTATGATAGTAAGATCACTTTACCGTTCGTATTAAATTGTGCCATTTACCAAAACGTGTTTTGCTCTTAATAAACGGGGTTCCATGTTGATATACTATATTAAAATATGAGCTTTAAATATCATTTTTACAGGATACTTTGCAGTTTAAATATACTATTAGAAAACAGTTATTTAACGACTTGTTAAATAGCCAAGTTAACGGACGCGTATTCGTCCGGATATAGAAAAGGGCACGCACAGAACCCAAGTCGTACTTTAGTTAACATAACGTAATTTGTTAAATTTAATTTTAAATATTCTTGATATACACAAAAACAAGTTTAAGTAATTGACACACCTTGAGTTGATGTGCAAGTGATTTTGCTTGACACTTGAAATTATTTCATTATAACAAAATGTTGGAAAAGAGCATCATTTGTATATTTTTTCTAAGCAATGGTGATAACTAGAAAAAATATTTTAACGGACCTGTAGGGGTATCAATAAACATGTATTTTACAAATAATTTAATCCATGGAGAATGATCAGAATTATTTACTCAGACTAACATAAACACTGCAAAAGACAATTTTGATAAGAAGCTACAATATTTATTTGAAGAAGAAAAAAAATGGATAAAAAGTAAATGTATTGCAGTTTATCGGAGTAAAATACCTTAAAAAACTAAGGCAATTTTAAGATCTTTACACACGAGAAATAGAATTATAAGATATGTTTATGTGACACTACCACTCAACATTAATGGATACAAAACAGATACCGGAATAATTTTACCCGAGGTAATTTGAACTTCCCGTAAAATGCATTATTGAGAACGAATAAATAAGTCAAATCTAACATTAAATTAACATGGGGAATTATTAATGAAATATATATATTAATATAATATAACGAAAGCTTCATCCCTTATATCATTTATACTATTTGATGACGACGCCAACATTTTTTTCTCTCACGAGAATTTGGATGCAACTATCTCTTAATAGTAATTTCACCCTGCAATATAACAAATTACAATTATACCCGAAAGTTTAGCTTATCTCTTTTAAACAATGGTAGCTTATATCATGAAAGGTATCAAATTATTATTTTCTGTCACTAATAGATATAATCTTGATAAAATATAATTAATGCCGCAAGAAGGGCTAGATACAACGTAATTTTACAATTGATTGCATGTCAATTTTGAAGTTACAGGCCCCTATTGGCCACATACTCTTATGTTTTGTAAATTATTTACACTGTTACACTGTTAAATTTTCACGATATTCACGATTGCTGAATAAATAAATGTTCATGACAATATGTACACTTCCATTACCCTCCGGCTTAAGCGTGACCTTCACCTCAGTCGAGAATGGCAAATATTCTACCTTAATGTCTTGCCAAACGATACTTTTACTGTGACAGGGATTCGAACCCCGTACCTTGTGCTTCATAGTTCACGAACCTATCCACTCAACCACAACACCTACACAGTGTGTTTATCCCCTACTTGTGGGTAAAATCAGATCTTACCATGATGCGAATGCTGCTCCTTTTACAAAAGATAATAGCAATAACAAAGAATGAAAATAATAATGATGATGATAATAATAGTACTAGTCATTATAACAATAACAATAACTTTAATATGTTGATAATAATAGTGAAAGTAATAGTGATAATAACAATAATAGTTATAATAACAATAATAATAACAATAACAAATGAAATAATAATGAAAATGATAACAACAATAACAATAATAACAGAATATTAAAATTTAACAACAATAACATCTAGTAGAAGTCTTCTTGTTTTCAAAGTTCCGTTTGATCAGCTATGCCAACAACCTCATATCTCATGGCCTGGTGCCCAATCCAAGTGAGTGGGTGTATTCTGACGTATCGAGCAGTGATTGGTCGAGGGAACAGTATGGTCTCGGGAGTGGTGTTATCGTAGTTTGCTGCGTAGATCTGAAGATCATGATGAAGAAATGATTATGTTAAGGGCATTGCATGGATATTTTGGTTCAATTAAAAATGGTTTATATCACAATATGTTTCGCGGGATAAGCTGAATTGCAAATGTGTAGGCCTCCTCACAAAGTAAAAAACATGAAATGCTATTTGTTTTTCTTTTTTTATTTAATTTATCTCCACTTCCTTTCCTTGTATCTTTCTTCATTCTCTTTCTCTAATGTTCTTCTCGAACTTTCCTTTTGTATTTGTATTTTTTATATCAATCTTTCACCTTCTCCTTATGTCTGTTCAAATATATGTTTTCACTTTTCTTTCCTTTTCTTATCCAGATATTTATAAACTTATCTTCTTCAACATATTTTTCAATATTGCACTTGTTTTTATTAAAAGCTGGGTAATTTATGGACTTTCCTATCACTGTTGTAGTGTATTTTCAATTGCGCCATCATTCGGTGAAGGCGTTCCTATACGCAAGCATCATCACCTGCGCGTCATCAGTTTATGATGCATTATGTAATATGGCTGTTTAGGAACGTTTGGTCTCGTGGATGCTATTCTACTGAGATGTCCTAAAATATAATATCATTTATACAGTCAGACATAACTTTGGAAAACCGAGCACAGGTAAATATGCCAAAAATGGCGTATAATGCACGATACATATAGACTCTTTAAAGTTCAATGCGAGGCGTGGGAGACAGCTTGCTATTAAAGTCAGCATGCTCTTTATATGTGCTTTAAACAAATTGCTGTGGGTTAATTACCCTTTAATGATTCGTCATATAATACAACTTTATTTTAATGACCAACGCTTCGGAATAGACATAACCACGGCATAATTCTTTGTCTACAGGGTTTGGGTATCTTTGCCTAATATTTCAAAAACAATCCTGGATTTAGCTCATGCTGCAATCATAGTTATAGTCAGGAATCCCATGACTTTTACAAGCCGATCGCCTGTCTGATTATCATGGTATTTATGATTAGAAATAGAAATGTCAACAACTGTTTGCCAAACAGCTTTGAACAAAACTATTGGGGAAATGAGTATGGTAAAACCGATCACTTAAAGATGTTTACTTTTTTGAAGCACTATGATCATTTTGAATAGCTATTTTTTTAAGGCTTCAATATTACACCATATCACAGACACTGGTAATACGTAGGGTCACGCATCTCAGATTTGAAAAACTGGAAACATTGTTAAACGATGCCTTAAAAGATAAAGACCAGTTATGGTCATGCGATTGCATTGTAAAAGAAACGTTGTGGAATCGATCAGAAAAGGTTGATCATCTAGCACATAAGTATTGGTGTACTGGAAGGTTCTGGAATCATCAAAATGATAAGAAATTTGGCCCAGTCTTGGTTACAAGCACTGTACACAGAAAGATGTATATGGGACTAGGCGACACGTGCGCGATATCTATCAGGTCCAAAAAGATATAATAATTTACCAAATATATCAATTAGTAGGCGGTTTCTCGGCAAAATTTGTATCATCACGTATTAGTTAAAACATTTTCTTTCACATGATTGGTAATAAGAGCTTTCATTTCATATTTTGAGAGGGGGGGGGGCGTTTCCAAAACTGATCTTTACTTTACCTTTAATGTACATCAACAACAGGTCGACGATGCAAGACATGTAGTACTTACTCTTTGTTCACCACATTGTGGTTCCAAAGCATAAGTCCATGTCACGTTATCCAGCGAATAGGATACCTTGACAGAAGTAATCCATTGTGCCAACTCGAATCTGCCTTGTACGATAACACCAGTGACGTTAGAGGTCCTTCCAAGATCTATCTGACTCGTTAGTGCGTTAATAGAAGTAAGACTTAGCAACAAGTATAAACTGATAAATAAATAAATACAGTTATGAAATAACTTTGACAACCCAAAATTTGGCTACCCTCCTGGAAATAAATACACATTTGTAAGTAATACAATTTAGAGAATGAAGGCGCGTAGCTAAATCAAAGTTTCCCATTGCTGTCCTTCCTTTTTTTTTTGATTGGCATAGGACGCCAGTGCCCCCCCCCCCCACTCAGTGTTATTTAGAGTACGTATATGCTCGTACCCTCTTTTTGAAAGCACCCCCTATCTGAGGACTGCCAACATTTCCGAACCCCCCTTTCGCGGGCTTTTCGCGGGCTTTTCCTGCCTTAGAGACCCCCCTAAATCAGGAAAAATGCTGAATGTACCCCCCCCCCCCTAAATTCGGAATAAATTCTCAGGAGTCCAAAGAGATGAGAGAGAAAAAAGAAAGACACCCCCTTTTTAAAGAAATCTCCGGGTGAAAAGTCAAATACACCTCTTTTTTTACAATTCTCGGGCCGGACTTTGTCGCACGAAAAGTACCCCTTTACCGGACATTTTGGCAACACGCATGCGGTCATTCAGACCTCTGAGTGGGGGGAGGGGGCGCCAGTGCTGTTAAACAACTAGACCAAGGATACGGGCCAGTAGTTTCGGCGAAAGAAAGTTAGATTGACTGACAGCTTGACAAATGTTAAATCTTTATTGATCCTTTGTCGGGGGTGGGAGGCAGATGAGTTAAAAATGACAAGCCACGTACCTCAGTCGGATCCTAGCTTTGAGCTTGAATAAGTGCCAAGTTGTGATATATATTTATAATATATATACATATACATGTGTGTGGGGGTGTGTATGTGTGTGTGGTGGTGTGTGTGTGTGTTGTGTGTATGAGATGACGACGAAAACAAATTTGAAGAAGAGAGGTTTCAAGCTCTAAATCCAATGGTTTTTATGAGATCGCAAATTTCGAAATTTCGAAATTCCATATACATCTTCATCAAGTGATCAAGACAAAAAATTAAGAATGAAAATCCTTTAAAGGTAGTGTGTCCCATTTGCAGGTCAAAAAAATGAAATTGGTAAATTCCAACGGCATTCGAAAGACAATACTTATTTAGAACTTCCCTCAAAACTGACGAAAGAGTTTGAAAATGGCTTTTTGTGGGAAAATAACGATCATTAGTTGTCGAATCGACATGAGTGATTGCATTCACCGAACTAATAGTCTGATTTTCAGACCCTTTACCGAATGGTTGTCTATTTTGTTGCTGCACAAAAATTCAATCAGTTTAATTTTGGCCAATACAAGTAGTGGGTTATTGATGTAGACAAATGCTCATGTACCTGTTACAGCTGATTTTATGTATGTTATTACCAAATAAAAAAAAAACATGACAGTTAGTCACTCAATAATAGTGTCTGACAAGGACGTCTAGAAAGTAAACGGGTTTCCTTGAATGAATTGAATACTGGGACACTGTTAACGTTTATATTTCACAGATAGGACGTACATATTGAAACGTATTCATATAATTCCTGCAAATTTCTATACAATTTGATGTTGGCTGCAAAAGGGACATAATATCTTTAATAGAGGGTTTCCAACTGTCCAAGGCAATACGAAAAAAGTTTAGAAGTAGATAGATAATTACTAAGAAATGTGTCGGTAAAAATCACGTATAGTTACAAGTAAATACTTGCTTTCAAAGCAGTAGGCGAGGTAATATAAATCATCAATGATTAATGCCACCTTTGGGTTCGGGTTCGGGTTTCATTTGGGCTTTACGTAAGAGCGTTAATATTGGAGTTAGATAGTGCTTGAATTCAGTAAGTGTACGACGTTCAGGAAAAACGGAATTTATGCTGAAGTGTCTTTCCGGGGGGGGGTGGGTCGTTATTATAATTTATTTATTTATTTATTTCTGATATTTATGCAGGATGGCACATATCACAAATTTGGTGGTCTTCCATGAGGCCCTGTTTGGTAATAATAAAACAAATAACAGCATCAAAAACAAAATAGATAAATACACAAGCATATAAACAGGTAAAATACAAATTAATTAGTATCCCCATGAAATAAATGATCATTCAAGAATCATCCTTGATCATTTACAAGAAATAGGTGAATGGAATTAGTGTTTAATATCGGACTCACCTTGACCCATTTATCTATGTCATCATCCCTAGCAAGCCATGCTGCCTTTTCGTGTAGAGTAACTCCACCGTTTAATCTTCCATCTGATGCATTGTAATTAAGATGATAATCGGACGAGGAGGTGAGACTAGAGTCTGGGATTCGTCCATCTTCCACTCCCATTCCTTCCCCTTGGATAGGACGTGAACAGCTTACCTCTTCACGGTTCATTGCAGCTGAAGACAACAAACGTACAAACAATTTTTTTTCAGTTTATAAAAGTGATTAGTGATATATTAGGTTATTGTTTAGAAGTTAGTTGCTAAACGAGTTTTCAGAAAACCAAAACTTTTTTAAAACTCGTTTTAGTTCAACTACTGCGAACACACGACAGGCTGGCGTGCATAATAGCATAATAAAACCGCAACGCACCTCGTATAAACTGGAAGCGAACACTAGTGAACTTTTAGAATACCGCCTCTTACCAACAACAGAACGAACGAAACAATACGACTGACCAAAATTTCGAGTCGTTTTGGAGTCGATTTGACGATGTAGGTTTTAGCGCCGTCAGTGGGTTGCTTGCTAATCGAATCCTCGGTCTTCGCATCTCCTGCCGATCATTTAAACCGTTCGATTACATCACCTACATAGATACCAAGTGTTGTGGTCCGGTGGTCCGCATTTCGATTCCCTGCCCTACACAAGTGTCCTTTAGCAAAACATCAATCTATACATTCCTAGGTGTGAATGGGTGCCTGCTATTTTTTCAGCGCTAGTTGCTCTGGTGGTTCAGCTATAACCAGTGTAATAATGTCTAGCGCCGTGAGCGTCACAGCGTGACGTGACAGAGAGGAGCGCTTTATCAAATACCTTTTGGATTGGCTAAACTAAGAAGACATTATTATTATTCCAATCCTTCTTTTGCTGCTGGGTCTTTTTAAGGATGTAGCCTATACCCACCTAATAAGTCATTGAGAGGTCCATAGCCAGTGAGCTCTAGCCTGAGGGCCCGGTGGTCATTATTGGCCGTCTTTGGATGGATACGAAAGAATAGGCATTCGATCGGCTTAAAGATGTTGTGCACCACAACACTATTTGAGTCGTAGTTTCCTGTGTAGACCTAAATGAGATAATACAACCAAAAGATAATGAAATAAACTTGAGTGTGAAGTGTTGAATTTCAATATCTACTGATCAAACCAATTATGCAACTTTTGAAATATATGTTTCCTTTCTACGTTACTATTCATTTGTAATACTTCTGTTAAAATTGTTCATACATTCACCATCACTTCTTTACATTTTATTTTTATATATTATATTTCATTTCATTTCCAGGAACATAAAGGAGTATAACAATAACAAAGAACAGAAGAAAACGGGAAAAATAACAGAATAATAGAGACATATCTTCATTTGCACATTTATTGCCACCTTTTTCTTTACATATTGATTGTCTTTCAACTACCAATATCCTGGACCTTTTTCGCCATACTATTTAGGCAGTTGGGTTTTTTTTATACATAAACGTTAACACAGCAATTTGTGATTAGGTCACATTTAATGTTTCCGACAAGATTTTAAAAAACATGCTGTCTTTTTTGTCAGTAAGATTTTAATGGATTTTACATAGCCTATTTTCTGTGTAATTGTCTGTGTTTCTGAGTAATATCTTTCGCATCTCTCCGTCTCTCTCTCTCCCTCTCTCTCTAAAATAATAAGTAGATATGAGGGTGGAACAATAAACATCCAATAACGAAGTGGATTCTAGGGCACACTTCGAATTACCCCCCTTCGAATTACGAAGAAAATAGGAAAAGAGGCAAATTATAAAAAGAGGAATAGCAAAGAGAAAAATAGGAAAAGGATGAAGAACGAAGACAATAGTACCACACGCTAATCAGTGGCCTTGTATATCATCTCCCCCAATGAGACCGGTACCCTTCCCCCCCCCCCCCCCCCAAAAAAAAAAAAAAAAAAATTATGCCAGCGCCCCTCAATATCTGGGCTTACACTACGCCACTGATTATCATCATTTATTTCATTGAGATTTAAACTCTTTATATGCCACACAAATAATCTTCCTGTAGTGTCACATTGTATTTATCATTAGATAGACATACCGAAGGCTTCATGATTATTTAATTGTTTCCTGGGCAATATCTGGAATGTTGTTATTGGAGCTAATCATGATCGGACAAGGGTAATTTTGCAAAACCACTAGAATTCCATTAATTGGCACATTAGACAAATGAGCAACCGTGCGGAGAGGTCAAGTAAGCAAACCAAGTGTAAATACCTTGACGGTGTTGGTGTTGATATCCTGGTTGTGGGTCCAAGATGATCCGTCCATACTGGATGAAATTGTGTACGATGTCACCCGCTGTTGTTCAGCATTTGCTCTGCCTTGCGTCATGATGGCGGTAATGACAAAGATGGAATTGAATTTGATCTGAAGCCAGGGGTCTTCGTCATCCATAGCGGATACCCACGCAGAATTACTGTTAAGACGGGCTTTCAGTTCACTCAAATTATTACTTTTCTTACTCGAGATTGTAATAGCGCTGTTTGGAACCTTACCGCTTTCTAGACCAACTGGACTACCTCGAGGTGTACTGCACAGCTTCACTGTTGAAAAAAATCACATGTCTTTAAAACACAGAGACTGTTTTTAAATGGACCACGAAACTATCATCTTATTAGCGCACTTCGAAGTTCTGGCACTTATGGGTTAGAAGACATGGGAATCTTTTAATGTTTATTACCAAATGCCTGTCCCAGTTTATAATCCGAACGCTTTACCTAACCCCGAAATCGGACCTCATCATCACCTAAAACCCAATTACAACCGTATCCTTAACCATATTGCCCGTATTCTACTAAACCTTAAACTTTTTTTTTTTTTAAATAACACATGGTCGTGATTTTGAAGAATACGGTACTATATCTCTGACAAATTGAAGCCATGAACAATTGTCGCCCAAGCAAGTTAGTGTCTCAGAATCCCTGTAAATTATATTACGAACCTAATTCGAACAGTATGTGCCGAATACCGAAGAGGTTTTAGGTGGAGAGTCTCAACTAATGATAATTAATGCAAACACGTGGCAATTTATTAAGGATGTACAATAAAACAAACAGAGCGTCTTGTTCTCTGATGTCTGATGGCTGACGCTTCAAAACTACACAGAAGAGTTTTAAAGGTAATACAAAGTTTTGGTATGGGGTCATGAATTTGTTTCAAATGAACATATTGGAAGTATATGTGATCTTACAATATTCAGTAATCATTGTCGCTGTTGAAATCGAGTCTAAAGTAATGAAATTTTAAATAATAAGCTATTCATGTTGTATAGCTCCCTCTCAAGGTCAAGATATCAATTTAGCTATAATACAATGTTTCTTGACTAAAACCGACCGATTGGCTATTCCCGTTTGCAAATTATATATCACAACTACGTCTTCTGAGATTTTCATGGTCGCAGCTACCATTGTTTGGCCGTAGGCGCTATTTGAAATTTATCAAAATTTACCGGGAGCACCGGTAAATTTTGATATTTAATTTTTCTCGGAAGCAGAAGTGTTTTAGGGGCTAAATTTTCTGGTGCTTATAATACATCCACATGGGCATCCAAATATATACAAATTGTAAAGATTCACTATCCAGCCAATTTTCAAAATTTACCAAAACTTTGTATTACCTTTAATAAGAAATGGTTTTAACATTATAGATTAGAGAGCTTAAGAGAGGTTTTTAATGCGTAGCTAGCTAATTCCTCAAATTAACGAGCACAGAAAACTAGTGTGCAGTTGTAAATTATGCCTAAGTCTTTCTGAATTTCCATGGCATTAACATAAAGAATTCCTTGAGAAATAGCTTTGACGGATCCCCAAAAATTTTCAACACATTTTCGTTAATTAGATTTTTTAAATTTCATTTTGTTATCGTGAAGGATGTCTGTATGAAATGAAAACAATCAAATTTCTTTTTGGTATGTAAAATATAATTAGATAATCGTTGGTATATATTACATAGTTATGCTATAAAACGAACTTTGGTTTGCCGATTCCTGTCGTATTAGCTGAGACTAACGATCTGAAATCGATCGGAAAGGAAGGCAGTTCCTGGCAATTGGTCAGAGGGAGTTATCGTAAAATTACCAAAGAAGGGATCCCGAAAAAAACTGCAATAACTGCCGTGGCATCACTCTATTGTCAACACCAAGCAAAATATTGGCAAAGATAATTATTACACGTATCATAGATGCTGTTGACCAAAATCTCAGAAGGGAACAGGCAGGTTTTCGGAAGGGAAAAAGGTGCACTGATCAGATATTTGCACTTCGTAACATCATAGAGCAATGCACAGAATGGCAGAGGAAACTTTATATAAATTTTGTTGACTTTGAAAAAGCATTCGATAGCATCCACCTAGACAGCCTGTGGAAAATACTACGCAAATATGGGATATCAGAGCAGTTAGTTCTTGTCATTAAGAGCTTTTACACCAATTTTACATGCAGAGTTGGAAACAGTAACCATAAGTTCCAAGTGAAGACTGGAGTTAGGCAAGGGTGTGTCATGTGCTGCCCTATGTGCCAGGAGGCATTATGGGCAGTAAGTAAGTATGTAAGTAACGATCTGTATGTTGTGACTCCATTTGTTTCAAGTCTCCTAGTCAACACATTCCCATTATTCTGAAACACTTACCAGTACAGCAAACAACAGCTATACTCTCCTCCCTAGGATTCATCGCCGCCCTCTCTTCGTACCAGCAGTCAGCAATGCTAGTCACATCGACAGGGCACCTCACAGTCACAGTTTCAGAATTATTATCTAAGGACATAATCTCGAAGAGATCTCCTCCCACTGTCGCATATACATCTTTTGGGATATAATCAGAAAGAACACAAAATATGAAAGAGCATTTGGAACAAAATATATTTGCACTTCTAAGTCTAATTATGATTTTTTCTAAATTATGTATAATTGTCTTAATTCCTCAAAGATATCGATGAGTTCTGGTCGTGAGATTACATTGTTTAAACAAATTGTCTGGTAGCAATAAGAATTATGTAGTACCCAGGAATGGATGTACACCCATTGAGGTAATGAAATCATCGAGGAGGTAGAGAATTTACTCAGTCATGATGGCCGGACGATCTTGCTTACTCATTTCCCTTTTGCAAATAGCTGTAGAAGAAGTTAATGTCCTCTGGTACAATGGACTGCATGGATGAATATTGATGATGAACTTTAATATCTGACAGTAGATACGTCAGTCACGCCGCCAAATTGACTCCACATCAAGTTCGAACCTACCGAATAATGGCCTTTCGAGTGTAATGTAAAAATAATTCAGTCTTAAGTATACAAGCCCACCGACATCCCCCCCCCCCCAAAAAAAAAGCGTGGTAATTTTAATACACGCGTTTCATAGGTTGTGGGCGATAATGCATTTATGACGGTTTTGTGAAACGACGCCATGGCCATGACGGAAACACTGTACTTTAGGTTGGTATCCTTGGTGTGACTAGAATGTACCTGACGAACACATTAAAGGGATAGTTGAGTTCTGTTGCAGAGGGCGCTACATAACAAGTGCGTAGCCAGGAATTGATTTTAGGAGGTGCGGTAGTAAGCGTGCGAATCACTTAAAGAGCGAGCGAAGCGCGCTCCCTAGGGGGGTGGGTGCAGGGAGGGGGGAGTTCGCGCGGAAGCTTTGAAAGAAGACGATTCGTTGTACCTTTCTCGACTCATAATCCTTGTCTGAATTCAGTCCGCCCCTCCTGCACGAAGCGCGGAAGCTTTGACGTATTATTAGACAAAGAAAACGATTCGTTGTACCTTTCCCGACTCTTAATCCTCATCTGTATTCAGTCCCCCTCCGCGCGAAGCGCGGAAGCTTTGACGTTTCATTAATTTATTAGAGAAAGAAGACGATTAGATGTACCATTCTCGACTCTTAATCCTTATCTGAATTCAGTTTCCTCCTCTCCCGCACAAAGCGCGGAGACTTTGAAGTTTCATTAAATTATTAGAGAAAGCTAAACGACTCAAAGTACCGTTCTCGACTCTTAATCCTTGTCTGAATTTCACCCCCCCCCCCCCCCCCTCGTGCTAAACTTTGACATTTCATTAAATTATTAGAGAAGAAGACGATTGGTTGTACATTTCTCGACTCTTAATCCTTGTCTAAATTCAGTCCCCTCCCCCTCCTCCTGCGCGAAGCTTTGACGTATTATTAGACAAAGAAGACAATTCGTTGTACCTTTCCCGACTCTTAATCCATATATGTATTCAGTTTTCCCCTCTCCGCGCGAAGCGCGGAAGCTTTCATTAAATTTCATTAAAGTTTCATTAAATTATTAGAGAAAGAAGACGATTCGTTGTACCGTTCTCGACTCCTTTTCCCTTTTTCTTCCTACGTCCTCTTACTTTTTTCTTCTCTTTCTCTCTCTTTTTTTTTTGGCCTGCGTTTTTTTTTGGGGGGCGACCGCCCCCACCGCCCCCCCTGGCTACGCGCCTGCTACATAATTGTTTGCGAGATAATGAAAACTGAGTGTCAAATTTGAAAGAACATACAATTTAAATGACAAAATCATCTTTGTCGATCAAATTTAGTTCAGAGACGGCAGAAATATCCATAAATATAACGATGTCTAATATTTGTGTACCACCACAAATTTTCGATAATTTGAAAAAGCCGTTGAAAAAACGAAATAGCGCCTTTTACGTAGTATTTCAGCCAATGCCAATGTTGGCTTTTTTGTTGGCTTTTTCGTTTTGGTTACATTACGCACAACAAGGCGGCCCATGTATTTTTTATTAATTATTTACTTAACGGTCACTGTATTTTTTGGAAAGTGGAACTGAAATTGTATGATCGTATTGGCTAAATTTCAAACATGTTGGGGTCTAAAATTACCTTCATAGCAATTGTAGGTGATAGAAGGGTACTAGAAATGTCATAGATAAGAATAAGAGCAATAACCATGCACTTTGAAGGCATTTGCGGTCTGAAAACAGAACTCAACTATCCCTTTAAAGTGAACAGAATACAGGACTGTAAACTTGATAAAGCATTTACCTTCATATTCTAGATACTTGCAGACCAACCGTGAAGCGTTCCTGGACCAGTTTAATTGATGGATTAGCATGTAGGTTGTAGGACGAGAACGAGATGTGAAAACTACTCTTCCTTCACTTTTACTTCCACCGACTAGTCTCACGGACTGGACGAAGGAGTCTTCATGCAATGAATTGAGCAAAAATACAAAATGTAATTATCCTGTTCCGAAAATGTCAGCCCCGACCAAGGATCGATCCCCAGACCATTCATATGAGAGTTTTTAAAACGAGCCTTCACCAATATTAAAGTATACCACCACGTACTACAGTACCCCCCCCCCCCCCCCAAAAAAAAAAATAAATAAATAAATAAAATAAAATAAAAATAATAATAATAATAATAAAAAAAATATATCTCTTTAACTTATTTTTTTTTAATCCAGAGGTTGTTGTTGTGGATTTAGCCCCCCCCCCCCCCTCCCTCTCTCTCTCTCTCTCTCTCTCTCTTTCTCTCTCTCTATCTTTCTGTCTGGCTCTCTGTCTCTCCCTTTGTTTCTCAATCGCTCTCTCTCTCTGTCTTTCTTGCTCTTTTTCTGTCTCTGTTTCTGGTTGCCTATACCTGTATGTCGCTCACTCTGTCTCTCTCTCTCTCTCCCTCTGTCTATATCACCGTTTTGTGTATCTCTCTCTTTCTCATGTAATTAATGTCCTCCTCTTACCGTACTCGCATCTGTCTCCACGGTAGCCATTCAGGCAAGTGCAGTTAAACCCCTCATCTGTTTCCTCGCAGGTTCCTCCATGTTGACAGGGGTTCGATAAACACGCTGAAATTACACCACACAATATGCATGTAACAAGTTATTAACTGGACGCCATAACTTGATACTTTAAAACGGACACTTAATATTTTAAAATTTAAAACATTGTATACAAAAAATAACATTAAAGAATACAAGCACTTATGTACTTGTATTCTATATTTCTAGGCTTGAAATTAAATTAATACAAAATTACGTACAAAAACATACACGTTCAATTGAGGTGTGACATATCAGAAAAGTAGTACAGTGCAAAAGAATAAAAAGACAAGAGACACATCATCCAAAGAAGTACAATGTTCTTTCGAGACACCCTCATGTAATGTAACAATGAAACTGATATTTGTTTAAATTAAATATCTGGGAGAGCTGAGGAATCTGAAAGCTACATTACGTCATTCATTATAATCTTTAATGTATAACCTTTACCCGTCCCCCCCCCCCCATACAAATTAAATTAAATGAAAACTGCAAAAAGCAATGATTTTTTTTAATGAGATTTTCTGAAAAAAAGGCAATGCCATAAAATCTGCGTGTATTTTGAAATTAATTCAAAAGATAATAATATATATCAATGCATAATTGTGACATTCACCAGAACTTATTCTCTCAAAGTGTATTCCATCCTTGTTTCCTATTAAAGCTGCGCACCTCCAGACCTTGCCATCAGGAGGGCCAACATTGTATTTTGTTTCTTCTTCACATAATGAGTTGTATTTCTAGTTCCTCAATTATTAAATACCGGACTATCCTCTGGAAGGAGATTCATTCCTCAAAATGAAAACCATCTAACTCTGCTATTGATACCCCAACACCCTTCGTCGCCTGCTATACAGCGTTAACTCATCTCTGTGATTTTTATATTCAAAATGAACGACCGTTTTAAAAAAAATACCGTACCGGTCCACAGTTGTGTTTATTTATTTACGTGTTTCACAGAAAGAGACTAAGTTAATCCATCTAAAATTACTTAAGCCATGCCGGTTAATAAAAAGGCCTTGTGAGTACCTAACTCGTATGGTATCACCAACTCCATTTTTAGCTCATTCAATACATGTTCTTATAGTAGTATCGATAATGATTTGATAATAATCTTGCGGGTGAGTCTATGTGCTGTTTGATTTTACCGATGGGCAATCACTCCCCCTTTTAAATCGACTTAGACAAGGATATATTGACTGATTGGTGAATACTTAATTGATTCGTAAATAGCAAAAGCAGGTTTATAATATTAGTGCGCATTTAATGTTTTACTCGCTTTTTTAAATGTACCTTTCTGTGAAACGTTGAGGGGATGATGATTATCCTGTCACAAATTATTTGTTAGCGGTGTATACAACATTAAGAGCAGATCGTTGATATATGTTTGTAACCAATGTGTTATCCATTGTTTTCCCTCTGGTTAAAAATGTAATCATTGACACCATGTATGAATTGCCGTCGCCAGGTAAAAATATAAGAGACAAACGTGTCAGAGGTAGATATGTCAGAGGTAATAATGCCTGGGGTAAAAATGTCAGAGGATAAAATGACAGAGGTTAACATGACAGAGGTAAAAATGTCAGAGGTACTATGTCAGAGGTAAAAATGTCAGAGGATAAAATGACAGAGGTAAAAATGTCAGAAGTAGAAATTAATGTCAGAGGGTACAACAAAAATGTCGGGGTAAAAATTAGCGCCGTCATAATATCTCAGCACTTTATCACACAAAATGTCCAGACATAAGCTACTGGGCTTGTCTATTATATTCCTACCTTCTATATCAGAATGTATATTTTATAAACGACTGTGTATTTTACTTCGTACACGTCCTGAGGATAATACAACGTGGAAAATAAATGTGAAACTTATATTTTGTGATCAGGTTTGCATATATTAATTTCTAACATTTCCGATATTTTAAATTGGTTGGTGTTTTAATTTTAATTTGGTTTTGAGGAAGTAAGTAGATAAAATATCAAGATTGAATGAGATACCGTATGGAATCATAAATATAAAGATCGCACAGAAATTCCACAAATTCAGTTATCCGACCCATATTCATGTTCATCCCACCAAAGACTGTTATGACAAGAAAGCGTCAAGGATGCTTTTTCTTCATCAATACTTTATTACAAAAGTTTAACAAACAATATCAAAGCTTCGCTTGAAGAATGTCAGATAATAGGCCTGCATGAAGTAGACGTTGAGACATATCTAGCCAGGTATTTTGTCATGTGCTTTCAACTTTTATGCAGAACGTTTCGAAAGACAGAAGTTGTTGTATTTGTTGAGTTAAACATAACAGAGTGTAACACTTATCGAAGGCCATTTTCATTCTTTCTTTTTTTCTCATTTCAATTGCATGTCTATTCATTGAAGGTAATACAAAGTTTTGGTATGGGGTGGTGAATTTGGTTCAAATAAACATATCGGAAGCATATGCGATCCTACAATATTCAGTGATCGTTGTCGCGCTTAAAATCGTGTCTGAAGTTATGAAATTGTAAATTATAAACTCTTTATGTTGTATAGCTCCCTCTCAAGGTCAAGATATTAATTAAGCTATAAAACGATGTTTCTTGACTAAAATCGACCGATTGGCTATTCCCGTTTGAAAATTGTATATCATAACTACATATTCTGAGATTTTCATGTCGCAGCTACCATTGAAGGGCCGTAGACACAATTTGAAATTTATCCAAATTTACCGGGAGCCCGGTAAATTTGTATATTGAATTTTTCTCGAAAGCAGAAGTGTTTTAGGAGCTACATTTTCTAGTGCTTATAATACATCCATAGGGGCATCTAAATATATCAAAATTGTAAAGTATCACTATCCACTCAATTTTCAAAAATTCCCAAAACTTTGTATTAACTTTAATGAAAAATTTGATATTTTATATTAGTATTAGCTTGTAGATGAATCGAGCTTCGTCATTGTCATGTTTATTTTTTGTTTTAATGATATAGTGACGTCGTAATCTATGAAGGCCATAATCTTTCTAACCCCCCCCCCCTGTATTTTTTGGGGGGGTGTTGCATTTTAGCATTACATATTGGCCTCGATCATCGGAAATTGTTTTTCCTACACTATTCCTACATGTACTTCGGTTTTCAACAATTATACTAATAGCGGTGTTCATGCCATGGCACATTGGATGGATAATTATAATATGTGTATGTCGCGCACGATTCATTGCTCTTCTGGTCGCCATGGCGTTCATTTTTTTCTCATCTCGTTTCTAAGTTTTACCAATGCTGAGAAATAATGATTTACATTTGGCAGGTTTGCAGTTCAGTGAAAAATTCCGTTTTTAAGGTATTTCTTTTTTTTCTTCTTCTTACGGGGGGGGGGGGTAGCTTTAAATAAAGAATCATATCATTTGTGAATGATAGTGGATTCAGTGGGAAGGATTACAAAATTATGCCTCACACCTTTTATAAATCCTGCACCAAATATCCTTCAAACAATATTATCATGATCAGACATAGACGAAAGATTCCATGTATGGTTGATTGTCTACGAAATGGAGTTAAGTCTTTTATCAATTCTGCTTGTTGCTATGGCAGGCAGCGAGTGAAAAATAACTTTTAAAATCAAATTATGGAAATGCAAGCATCACTTTAAACAAATAGAACTTTGTTATTCCTTGCACATTTTTCCTGATTGAAGTGTCATATGAAACTTTTTAAAAATGTGATTTTTTTTTCTTTGAAATTCAGATACCGCCCGCCAAATGACTTTTTGGTTTCCTCTCGTCAAATTGTTTTTAATCACTCATGCGTGAAATATTTATCATATGAGTTGTATCAAATGCAAGAGGAGGGTCTAAGCGTTACAAATATGTGTCATTTATTAATTATAATTTTGATTTGGTTATGATAAAACATCGATAATTCTCGATTTCGTTTTTTCTGGGACGCACTGTATAACATATTATTTGATTATTTTATATATTTGATTCATTTGATTTCCAGTCACATAAAGTCAAACGACATATCATAGACAATAATATAAAAAAAACAGTCATTATGATAGAAAAATGAGTGAACATAATGACATATATCAACGATAATAGTAATGATAAAGATGATAGAAATGTAATTAAAAAAGAAATCATAATAAAATAAGGGAGATGATAATGATAGTAATAAAAACAATAAAAAAGATAATAATACAAATAATTATGATAATTATGATAATAATGATGGTAATGTAAGATACGTAAACAATAACCAATGACTGGGGATCAACCCAAAGAAGTACACATTTCTGATTAAGGGCTCTCCTCAATTATCGTTGCCCCCCCCCCCCCCTCCCCCTCCCTAATTAAAAAAAAGTAACGAAAAAGATGAAACGACTAAATGAATACAATGTCAATGATTATAATAATAACTGAAAGACTATACGATTATAGAACAAAATGTGGCAACAGGAAAATTCAGTCAGATTGTTCGAAATGAGTGCACTATGGGAGGCATATCACACAAAAAGATAACAACTTAACGCATTCACAAATAGTCTATCAGGGTTATCAATACACTAGTCAGCTTTTGCAGAGAGCGGGAAACAGGGTCCCAGTTCACGTATTCCCAAGAGCTGCTAGTTACCATTGTTTCTATTTGATTGACCGCTGTGCATAACAGCATCAATGAAATCCACTTAGCATGCATTATTTGTTACCATGCCTGGCAAGCTTTATAGAGTGACCCAGAATCATTTTTGTTCAGGAATTATACTTACAATTTTAGTTTAAAGCCGGTCTATTGTTTGCGATATTTGTTAAGTGGAAATTGTAAAGTTGGCATACCTAAATAATAGATTCAATATGAAGTCCGGCGAATGAAGTTAGAAGCTCCGTGATAATGGCTTTTCCCATATAATAATAATAATAATAGTGGGTTCTTGTATAGCGCTCATGTCAGTCAGATTTCACCTTCCTGGCGCTCCCGATTATTACCATTATAATTTGTAGATAGTTATGCATTTAGCTTTCCGTATATTCGTTTGGTTAGGCTATCTGAGAAAGATGTGGAGACTGACGAGGAATCGACCTTGACTATATTGTGTAACCATGTAGCTAGAGTAAATGCAGTGTCAGAATAACAGTAAGAAATAGTCAGAGATAACGATTGTCTGTGTTATTGCGTCTTTCAAGTTAAATTTATAAAAAATATCCGAAATATCTACGACTCATTTCCCCGTGTATGATAAAAAAAAAAAACATTTTTTAATTTTTTTACCAGAATTCAAATGGACCTAGGTAATGCTTATATCCTAGGGTGTAGTTGTACTTTCATTTGTTAGAGTATCTTACCCGATATTGCACATATTAAGTAAACTTTTGACAACTCAAAAGATTAGACCAAATATACCTGGAATGGATGAGGTTATAATTGCCATCACAATTCTTACCCGGTATTGAACAGAAATTGAACAGAACCACCTTTTTGATAACTCCTATTGAAAATCATATAAACTTGATATGGATGAAGTAAGGAAGTGCTGTTGGAGTGATGTTGTACCAAATCTACGGCTCACCTGGTATCGAACAGTGGTACCATGTTGATAACTCCGAGGGTACATTAAATACACTTGGTATGCCTGAAGTAACGGCCTTCTTTAAGACTAATTGTATAACCTCCCCAGTTTCCAACGTCTTAGATGGGCACATAATATTGATAGAACTGGGTTGCTCAGCGGCAAAAGCTGTAAGGTTTCAATAGAATAGGAGAATTTTAAAATGTTTCTCTGCATGAAATAATATGTACTTTTATACTTAGTTTGTGTAAGAAGACACCAGCCATATAATTCGGAATAAAACATTTGAAAAGGGAAAAGAAAGAAGGACAAGAAACAGAAGGTAATAAAGGAAGAACTGCTCTCTTAAAATAAATCGATATGAATTGGCTTAGACAATTGTTTGAGCAATTAAGTTTTAATTGAAATGAATCAGGAAAGTCGATAATTATATTTTTTACTAGGATTGATTTTTTTTTTACGGGAAATGTATTTTGTTGTTTTCTTTTATGTTTCACTTCGTTACATTTTATTACATTTCTACTTCATCAAGACAAAAACAATTTGCTTGAAATCAAACGCAGTTGTAATAGACCTGATTATTTATTCCTCATTTTGTTATTATCTACATAATTATATAAACATTAAACATTCGGTTCCTACCTGTTTCATGAAGTAGAATCACGAGCAACGTGAACACCAACGCAACCATGACGAAATTGTTCACCATGCATGCGACACGGTTTAAATAACTAAAAAATAACGAGAAATACAAACAGAAGATTTTAGAGACTGAGTTCCCCTTCTCTCTTTTAATTTTCCTACGACATTTGGGGGCTGCAGGGCGCATGTATTCACATTTGTACGTGTATTTTCACTTACTTGGCAATCCGATCTTTGTAATAAGTTAATTTAATGTGTATGTTATCAGTAAAAATAGAGAAACAGAATGGCGAAACTTCAAAATAAATCGGACCGACAATATGATTGTTTAAAATATAAGATCACAGTCTATGCAAACGTTTAATTTTATGAAACATCTGCTTATCAGGAATAAATTCTTTCAACTAAACAAATTCCCTTCTAAAGGTTCTTTCGGAATGAAGGTTCTATACAAATTCAGTAAAACTAAAGTTTTGTTGTTTTTTTTAAATATTTTTCCCCTTCCATAGGGTTCTTTATTTTCAAAACAAATTTCTTCATATACAGAACATCCATATATCATATACAAATAATTAAATAATAAAAATACATGATCATGTTTATGTTAGCACATTTCCAACACTCTCAAAATATTTTCTAAAGTGAAACCATTTCTTTTTCAATTTATTCTCTCTGAGATTTGTTTGGTATATATATTTTTACATTTCATATAAACGTTTTACAGCTGATAAAATTATATCAAATGATGGTAATTGATTAATAATAATAATAATAATCCGGTTTTTTATATAGCGCCTTATACACCGATCCAACGATGTACCTAAAGCTATGGTCACAAATTAGAGCAGCGACCGACCGATCAGTAGCCTGCTCGGTCGCTGCTGGAATTAGGCATCGCCCAGCGATTAGTTCGGTGCCCGGGCGGCGACCGCCCAGGCACCGAGCGTATTTTGGGCGGCGGATGAAAAGTGGGCAGGCGCCGCCCAAATTTTAACTCCGCGCCAAAACTTCAGCGGCGACCGAGCGATGCCCTAACAACGAGCGGTGACTGGCCGGTCACCGCTCGGTGGCCGGGCAGCCGCCGGGCAGAATTGGTTAAAAACTCGCCGCTCGGCCGCCGAGCAGGCTACTTTTGGGTAATGTGACCATAGCATAAGCGCTTTACAGATATATTATTACCCGGTCATCGTAATTTAGCTGAAAATATTTCTTGTCTTACAACCATCAGAACACAGTTGAGTGCATTATTATTGCTACCGCAAAATCCAAACAATTTATTTTGATTTGTAAGTTTGATCCTTTCCCCCGTATTACGAAATATCCAGAACTCTAAATTCGACCATACTTCATTAGAATAGTTACAAAAGCAAAAAACATGTATGATATTTTCATCATTGTTACTACAAAAAGTACACTTCTTGTCAGCCACTACACCAAATCTTAACAAACTGTCCTTCATATATAATATTCTATTTAAAATCTTGATTTGAAACCACCTCATGTTGATATCTATTGTTGACTGAAATGGAATTTGACAGTACGAACCCCAAAGTACATCTTGAAAATCTAAAAAACTTTTCCACTTTGTAAGGGCTTTACATTCTTTTACTTTGTTTTTTTTAGCAAAGACTGATAAATATGTGAACAACCAACATTTGTTTTCACCACAAGGTGCACGGCTTCGGGAATGATAGGTTCTAAGGCCTTACTAGGAGCTACATGTGTAGTCATTTTAAAACCTGACCGAATTGCATTACAAAGACCATAGTACTGGAGGAAATTTGTTTGTAGGTCAAATCTCCGCTGAAACTCAAAATATGAACAAAAGGAACCATCTATTTTTAGGATGTCATTCACAGTATTCCTCGTAAATTCCAAGCCCCCAAAATACCACTTTGTCATTTATTTTAATGTGGGGGTTATTCCAGAGAGGTTGACTTGCAATGTCGTCAATAAGAAGTTCGACCAAGTCTGACCAAGCGAAAAGGATCTCTTTCCAAAATGGATTTGGAGTCAAGTCTGCTAATTTTCTAAAATAATGTGAGCCCATATTCAGGTGAAAAAAATAGGTTTTGGGCAAGAATGAATTGAACATGTGAAAAGTAAAACTTTCTATCTGAGAATCAGTTACAAATCTTCTAATCCATGATATTTTCAGGGATTTAGCACGAATGTAAATATCAATCATCTTAACCCCACCTTTATTATACAGTTGACACATTAAATTTGTTCTCTATTGATTTTATCAGGTTTGTTACCCCATATAAATGCATACAAAGAACGATTTATATCTTTCATAATTTGCGAATTCGGTTCTGGAAGTGAAAGCAATAAATAGTTCAATTTTGGCACCAACAAAGATTTGACCACAGTTATTCTTCCGAGGACAGTTAAGGTTCGTTTGGACCATGAAATAATTTGGCGTTTTATATCTTTAATTTTTTCAGTATAATTATGATTTACCATCTCTACTAAGTTAACCGAAAAATCTATTCCTAAGTATCTCGAATAACCTTCTGATACCCAATTTAGTTTGTGCTCTGGCATGAGCTGTTTTTTGCAGGCTAAAAAAAAACTAAAGTTTGCTGTACATCTAAGCTCTCGTGGAATTAAAAACAAGGGCTAAAATGGATATAACCAAACATTCAACGTGAAGAAAACCTTGTTATAGATGTGCCTATAAAGTACTTTTTCTTCGACAAAGTCTCCAACGTGTAAATAATCGTACTTACCTGTCTTATTTCGAGCAACAAAGCGGAATCATCATCCAGTTATATATTCACGGGCAACTATCCTTCTATTGCATCAAGAGTGTAAACACCTCGATTTCAACAATCTGCGCTAGATGTTGAATCACAGAAGTTTCAGGAAAACTCCTCTTTTCAGAATAGTACACCGCTGACTTAGAACACGATGAACGGGTCAAGATGCCTGATAGGAACTGCATCCATTAATTGCTCTGCAAAATATTCATCCGATTCTACAGAGATTTATCCGATTTATCTGAAATGAGCCACTCTCGAACGAGGGCGATGAGTGTTTACGTACAACGGCGTGCGTTTATGGCGCGCCATATGCCCAATAACCCCGAAAAACATTGTTTATCGCCGATAAACAAGGTTTATCGAGCGATAAACCATGTTTATCGTGAGAAACTCTGTATATCGACTGATAAACACAGTTTCCCTCGATAAACAAGGTTTATCGATTTCCCTCGATAAACAAGGTTTATCGAAAAACACGGTTATTCGTATTTCGTCAGGAGTGGGCGCTTTTTAAAGTTGCACCCAGCTAGCTCAGAGCACTGCTCCGCACGTGCGCTTTACACCGTAGAATATACCAACACCGTAACACTTGCTCGCGCTCATGACCACGATCGACATTTTCTGAGTGGAGGTATGGCGAAGTATTCTTAATTCCAAAAAAATGATTTTGAGACAAGACTGAATAGAATAATTATGACATTAGATTGTCAAATTTATAAATTATAGTGTATTCTACGTTGATGTGGAGTCCATTTTCTATCATTCTGTTTAAAGCTGTTTTACTCAGATTTTTAACACATAAACTACAAGTTTTATTGGTTGGGGTTTGGTCAGTTTATCCATACCAACTCCTGTTGGCCATTTATTTATCTGTATTTATTTAACGCACATCAAAAGTAGCCCCATCATAAAGGTTGGCATGCCCTCTGTATTGTATTGTATGCATGTAGACGTTTCTCTTAAAGTCATTCTTATATACAGTTGTACACGTATTTAAATGCCAGTCGACTACAAAATGCAATATTATGATTCATTATTTAGTGTCATCTGAAGACAAAATTGTCAAGATATAAAAATATTTGGAGTTGATGTTTGTGTCCATTATTATGTATAGCATTGCAAATGTTTTACTTGATTTTTGTGAGAAAATAGAAATCTATTTTTCATCATTATAATCAGCTTCAGCTTTTTGTGAATAAATATATATATAATTATATATATCAGGAGATATAGATATATGTTTGTATTGATCGTATAAAAATGATAGTTATGTTAACTAACTGTAAAATATGTATGTGCATCTACATCGCAATCATACTGGAAAGCGAATTTAGTTAGAAAGTGCCAATTTACAAGTTAGAATGGTCCCCGAGACAATTTTAGGTCTTCTTACTGTCACTATATTGTGCATATAACTATGTTATAATAATTTACAAGTAACCCAACCCTCTCATGCTTGAGTAATACTTTGTTTTCATCCCAGAGTGATGGGAGAGTGATGGGAGAGAGAGAGGAAGAATTAAAGAATGAGGGAAATATTGGAAGAAAAAATACATCAGGAAGAGGGAAGATGAACCATGAGAGAAAATGTCCCCATCAACTTGCATTTCATGTAATTAGCCAATTACATTTTTTATGGGATTCATGGCCACTGCATTTCACCATAAAGAGGGAATATAAAAACTTTTTCAAAATTATGACCCATTTCAATGACCATTTGATTCGTTCACAGGATTCTCCAAAGTAACATTAAATGTACACTTAAACATATTTTATTTTTCATACAAAAAGAAAAATTAAACAATGATGTACACTGGCATTCAAAGGAATAAAAAAGACACAGCCATGACATTTATTAAACAAATGTTGCAATTTAATAACAACTTACCAACATTAGATGACACAAACCGTACAAGATTTCTGATAGAACACCAGCAAAAGCCTTCCAAAAATGAATGATATTCTATGTACAGACACAAAACTTGTAGAATAACACGTGAAGATGAGACACATTTATCACAAAGTATTTCCCTTTAAATGCCTAAAACATCTGTTTCATTTAAAAAGTCAATGGCACTCTGGTTTTGTGCCTATATGCTGGACAATTGTCCAAGTTATCATCCTTGAATTGGCAAAATGTTTAAAGGGTTTTCAATCTCAGTTTGTTCATACCATTCTGAAAAATATATACCGGTGTTGCCAATTTCAAGAAGAAAAAGTAGCCTTAACGTTGTAAAAAGTCCTTTATTGAATGGGTGAACAATTATAGTGCTGCCTCTATTAGCACCACAGCCACTTACAAATCATGGAATTTCAATGGTAAATTGAGATGTGCGGGCTAAATTCAACCAACTAATAAGCCAACTAATGATATATCTACCAGTGGAGATTGAGGAAAATTAGATTTATGGCAGCATCATGAAATTTGTTTTTCTTTCATACTTTCGTTAAGGAGTGACACCCGTAATTACTCAGACATAGCACCATTGCTGTCTCATGGACATAGATAACGATATATGTATCAGTGTGAATTTTGACCAACAGCTCCAAAGATTTTTTTAAAGTAAGTTTAGGATATGAACTCCATTCATATTTTTTGAAACGCTATTCACATTTTTGAAAACTCAATTTATATTTTTGAAAACTCCATTCATATTTTTGAAAGCTTAATTCAAATTTAAAGTCCATTATATTTTGTAATAACTGTTGTCAAGAGCACTGGGAAAACACATGTGTTTATACAATAAATAATATCAGATGCATCAAACTGGAAATTACATTGTACATTGACATGAAAAACACAAACATCTAAAGATTCAATTTAACTCCTACATGAAGGTGATATTTCTTTTCTCCATTTGGGAACCTCGACCAATTCCCTGTGTATTCAATTGTAATTTTCCTTTCCTACACTTGTATCCCTGTTTGATACACAAATGTAATATATCTAGATGAAAAAGGATCTCAAAAAAACTACGCAAAATTCTTCACAAATTTGAAACACAGAATTATATTTACAGAGGAAATGGATAAATCTATACATACCAATAAACTGTAAACGAACAAAAACACTTCTACTTGTACAGACTATTTTGAATAAAAATCGAGGAACATGAGTATATGACGACAATACAAGAATACTCGTTACTTATTTCACTTGGTACATCAAAGGAAAAGACTAGAACTTTCTGATTTATACTGCTTTAAGAATTTCTCTTCTTGTATGGGTGCATGTTGTAGCAAAAGATTGATTTAAATAATCAAATCCTACATGAAAATCCTGAATATTCATTATTATTGCCCACTATCTTGAGTTTCAAGGAGCAATTAAAATGCTTCAAACATGCTTATTCATGGAATGTCTCATCAGAATCATTTATCTCTATAAAAGTTGTTTGTTGTGTTGCTACAATAAAAAGCATATTTCCTTATTTGACATTTGACATTAGTTGTAGATAAATGTTTCTTGAGCTATCAATGTAATTTAATTTGTTACCACAATAATGTGAATACACATGAATTTAACAGGATAATGTTCTGAAGTTTCAGAAACATCTGAAACAACAAGTTTTCATATTTACAGCATTTTGTTTATTTTTTACAAGTGAATGCTACAACCCAATCTTAAAAATTACCCCTATGAAAAATTGGAGCAACCCATAAGAGAGCTAAATGTCTATGTACAGGATATGTGATGTTTTGAGTCTGCAGGAAAAATCCATTCAGAGATTAGGTGTGGGCAACATCATCTTCTAGGAAATCTTGAGCTTGGTCCTTGCTGATGACATCGATGTGACTCACCTATTGAGAAAATTGAACCAGAGAAATGAATAACATTTCACACTGCATAGTCTGCGATTCACTTCTTCGACATGTATAAAACATAATAAAATTTCACAATTTCTCTATAATACATACTTTTTGGAGATCAAATTATGATCAAACTGATCAGAGGATAATTCATTATGAACATCTCACAACAAACTGAGTTACATCATGATAAATAAAGGGAAATCAAACATCTGATGCATACTGAATTGATATTGGGCCATACGCATATAACGTAGCAATTGCTGAAATTTTTTTGCATAAAATGAACTTTTGCTAGTTCATATAAGTATTTCCTTTGTTGTTTTCAAGCCCTCGTCATATCTCAGCTGCAAAGGGCCAGCTAATGACGTATTCACCATACACAATGCCTATGGTTCCTGTGGGGGGGGGGGGGCCTTTCATAAAGCTGAGCGTAAAGTTACGCATGATTTTACGAATGACTTGAATATGAAGAGCTAAATGGGATCCTGAAATCCTTTTAACTGTATAAGCTAAAGTTGAAATATTTAGATATAGATTAATCTTATCATTGTTAACAAAACATTTTAATGCAAAGTTAAGTTTTGGCTACAATTTAATTGAGATTTTGGGAAATACAGTCACACTTTGTTAAAATGTCAGGAAAAACTTTGGGCATCCTATCTGGCTCTTCATATTCAAATCATTTGTAAAGTTATTTGTAACGTTATGCACAGCTTTATGAAACACCCCCCAGGTATTGTGCATAGTAAATACAAGATCAGCTGGCCCAGTGCAGCTAAGGTGCTCTCAAACATAACTGTGGAATGTCCTTAGGTGATACACAGAAGGAATAAGCTCACCTTATTCCTAAACTTGACACCGTAGAACTTGTCAGCCGATTCCAGCAACTCCGGCCTGAAGGTGGTTGTGATGAACTGAGCGTTGGCTGCAAGCTCATGGATCATGTCTGTGAGATGAGAAGAGAAGAGAAGAGAAATAGCTGAAGGAAGTCCAATTTTGACAGTTGGAGGTGAAGGTCATTCAAACCAAATCTGTATGTATTATTAAGTTATGGCTAATGCACAAGTTTGATATGACATGATACATATGGTTCAACTATGGAAATTTTCAATTTCTTTGTAACTCTTGCACATGAATATGTATACAACATCAACTGTTTAATTGTTGTTATTTTGTTACCCACTTGAATACATTTGTAACATTGTGTTATGTTGTTAATAAATTCAAATTCAAATTATTTCAAATCAAATTCACTTGACTCTCAATCTAAGGGTTAGGGGTTTGACTCCAAGCCTGGCACTATAATCCTTTGGCAGACATCAATCCATATTTGCCCCACTCTACCCAGGTATATATGGGGACAAGGCAATTGCTGGTGTTATAATAATTTAAGAGACTTCTGGAAGAACAGCATTGATGCTGATCAGGCTCCCAAGGTAAACAAATTATTCTTAGTATTATTACACAATACTTTAAGACACCTGAAGATTTAAACGGCACATTTCCATGAGTTTAGCGACTGCAGAATTTCGTTGCATTCCCTAGAAAAATCCAAGGAGCTCATAATATCACTATGTTCCTATACACACCATCAGATTATTCTGTATCTTCCCTTCAGAAGTGAGTTGATTAAAGTGTTTAGCTTTCCAACAAGAAAGAAAAACAAACCCAAGTCATACCCTCCAATGTTTTTGTATGTACTGCTCATAGAAAAAGAATACACAGGAGCCAACAATTCCTATTTTGGAAGAGTGATTCCCGTTTTGGGGGGTTCGAACTAGTTTCATAAACCTTGTGATACTCTCTTTTTCTGAAATCTTCTGTTTCAAAGCATACAAAAACAATGTATTTCTACTTTTTCTTTAATGGTCCCATTTCTTTTTTTGAGGAAAGTTGGCAGAAATGCCAATGTATCAATATTTCAGAGCAAAAAGCTAGGAGAAAAAAACTCCTGGTAATTATTACAAAAAGGAAGGATCTCTTACCTGCCACTGCTTTCCTATGCATGGCATCAAGGGCAGAGTCGATCTCATCGAAGAGGTAGAAAGGGGCGGGGTCACATTTCTGGATGGCAAAGATGAGCGTCAGGGCGACGAGTGACTTCTGACCTCCGGACAGCTGCTGCATCTCACGAGTCTCACCGGCCTTACCAGAAAATGATACCTAAAAGAATGACAGCCACAGAAGGTATGGTTATAAATGTAAAGACCATGAACAGACCTATATTGGTATTTTGCACATTTGTCATTTATGTTATGGGTCCATCAACTTCTCTCAAGCCATCATCTTTATCGGTTGCTAATGATCCAGTACACTTCTCAATGTATATATATATATATATTGTTTGTGATTTTTTTTAATGAAATAATACATTGAATTGAATCGAATTGAACATGTCCTACCTTGATGCCCACTCCTGTGAACTGTTCTACCAATGGAATTCCACTTGAACCTGATGCTCCTTCATTCTCCAACTACAAAAAAGACATACAACATAACAACACTTGTTAATAATAATAATAACAATAATAATAATAACAATAATCTTGTTTATCCGGGGAAGCCTCATAAGCTTCAATGCCATTCTTCCTGAAGGTCCTGCACTCATTATTTCCCCAGCGATTGCCACGCATTTAAGCCTGGGTGGAGACTGGCATATGTGGAGTAATGACTCGCCAAAGGACATTAGTCCCGGGCTGGGATTCGAACCCTCAACCCTCGGATTGGGAGTCGAATAAATGAACCACTATACCATGACGACACCTACCACTTGCTAATCTAGCTCTAGCACAACAATTGTATGTTTTAAAGTATGCACTGCCCTACGGAAGAACAGTCCATGGCCTGAGGTAGGCCTCTGTGCTTAAAAAATAAATGAAATGAAATAAATGAAGCTTTGATTTCTCACCTCCTGGGAGGTTTCATAGTCTCCCTTCTTCATGACTAGTGTGGCCTTGCCTCCAGGCACCAGCTTCTCAAAGACCTCACTGAAGTACTTGGACACCTGCTTGAAGGTCAGCTGGATGGCTTCGTACTTACGCAGCTCCAGGACGTTCATCAGATCAGTGATGGCCTGTAGATAAAAGGGGGATTGATCCAATTATTAACCCTTCTTGTCCCACCAAGATTTAGAAAAGTTCTGTCACGAATGAACTTTCAAGCATCATAACGATCACTTAAACAGATCCGTGCTAACTCTGACCAGGGGACAACTCGCCCCAGCTGCAAAAGCAGTCATTTTTTTACATTTTACCTTGTGATCCGCAGTCCGGGGACATATCCACTCGTCCATGACACCTCTATGATATTAGCAGGATGGGCATGAAAACCAAACAAGTTTACTTACAGCATGGCCATTGTCCAACTCATCCTTGCGTTTGATGAGTTTCTCCTTCTGATCAGAAAAGTTGACGAACTGGTCGAGGGCCTTCTTGTTGACGTGGCTGTACTTCTTGAGCTCCTGGTTGCACTGTTCAAGTTTCCTGAAGAGCGCCTTGAGGGAGAGATGGGTGTACTTCTCAAAGGCATCGCTCGGAAGGGAACCAAGCTCACGGATCTTACGCATGCACTCCTCTTTCTGCGACATAACAGGAATAACGAAATATGAAATAAGAAATGTGTTGTTTGTATCAAGTGTAGAGGCATGTGTGCAAACTTTAGACAGAAGACAAAGACCAGCTAAAAAGCTGCAGTCATCTTGCGCAAGGCAATCCTTCCAGCACTCATTGGATTGATGCTATGGAAAGCCGATTGGTATTTATACTACATGTATTTTTCTATTTTTTTTATATCTAAAAAAAGAATGTATTCCCTCAAATCGGAACGTTCCGTTTTTCTTGGTTGTAAAAACTTCAAACACGGAACGGTTAGAAACGGAATGGTTGGCAAGTGTGCTATAATTGTTACGCTTTCTTTGTTCCTACCTTCTTGAGTAACAAGCTCTGTTTGTTGGTCATCTTCTCCAGCATCTTAGCATCATCCTGGATCTTATCACCAAACTCTCTCTCCTTGCTCTTCCATTCCTCCAGGTCACCTTGCTTACTGCTCTGCTCTCTGTTCAACCCTTCCAGCTGACCCTCAATGTCTAGGAAGGATTAGAGAACAATGAATAATTGCTTCATCGGTTCATCATAGTGACTAAAGTCGAAGAACAAAACCAGGGTCAATCAATATTCAATACACCCCAACTTGATACAAGAAATATATTTTGACAAGATATTAATCTACATTTGCCACACTCCACCCAGGTGAGGTAAATGGGTACCCGGTAGGAAGAAATTCCTTGAATACTTGAGCGCCTTTCATGGTAGCTCGGCTCAAGCTGGGGTAATAACATGATTGCAGGACCCTCAGGGAGAATAGTATTGATACTGATGAGGCTACCCAGGGTAAACAAGACTTATTATTATTATTATTACCAAAACTTGTTCAACTATGGGATGGTTAGTTGTTTTTTTCTCACCTTCTAGCCTCGACTTATTGGTATCAATAGCAGTATCAGCTGTCTGCATCTCCATCGTATTATTCTCAAGCTTCTGACGGCGATCCTCAATCGAGATTTCTTGAAGTTCCTGCCAGGAATCACATCAAATTGATATTAAAAATATTTGTCTTTAATTATTTAAAAAACGAAATATATAATGTATGTATGACCAGTTTGAAAGCGCATGGATTTGTTAGAAAACTATCCAGACTAACCCATAATCTGAGAGAGAGAGAGATATAAAAGATACATTTCTTCTTAACAAATACTTGTCAAAGAGAAGATCATCTTCCTAATTTATTATTAAGTAAAGTGAAGGATAGATTTAACAGAATAAAATTCAATTCTCTTGTTGGGTGTTTTCTCAGGTACGAACCCCAATAGGAATGGAGTGGTTGATGGCTACATTTCTTATGACTAAAGAGACCAAACCTTCACCGATGGACTCTTGCAATTTTTGGAAAGGAAAAACTTGGTTATCCCTGAAAATGCCAAGTTATTAAGGCCATCTCACAGCTCAAAGGATTCCACCCATCTCCAGAACTCAGCCATTGAGCAACAAAATATCTTGAAGTTTTGCTTGTAAATAAAGAAACTCGGTACAAATATAAATATGGAGTTTCGTTTTCATCCCATTGTCCTAAATTTGGTGTCGAAAGATGCGCTACTCTCAGGGCTTAAATTCATAAAAGCATGGGCTAGAAAAATATTCTCAGTTAAAATTGCAGAAAAATGAGAGGGGAGGGTGGAATCCCCCCCCCCCCCCCCCCCACCCAACCCCTGGCCCTGAAGTTGAGATAAGCTTTCTGATAATATATACGTAACTTTGAAACCAATTGGCTAAAACGTCTCCAAACAAAGTATATATCTACAGTAGGCTTGTGGGTGCACCATGTGAGAGAGAGGGAGGACTGCCCACATGGAACGTCGAGCCACTCCCGCCACTCATCCTCTCCAAGCGCTATAGTTCTCCAAAGAATTATAAGATAAGAGAGATAACCAACAGTCTTTTTCAAGACTATACCAACAGTCCTTTTCAGGACTATAAACCCTCAAGAAAGATTACTGAGAGTCCTTTTCAGGACTCCTCAATCCTCCCTCTCTCTCACATGGTGCACCTGCAAGCCTACTGTATATCTACATCACCATGCAAGCCGATACTTACAAGCATCATCTAAAGTATATATCATAAAGTATCCTTTCCCCAAGAGCAATGCAGAAAAGAAAAAGGTATATAAAAGGAGAGATGGAAAGAGAGCCAGACTGACCTGCATGAGCTGTTCACGTTTCCTATTGAGATTGCCGGAGAGGTAGTTCTCTATCTTGTTCTTCTGTCCTTCAAGCTGCGGGGAGAAAATAATTTGGTATAACAACAAATCATCATAATGGAATTAGATAATTGCGTAAAGGCATAGTTTAACAACGTTAAATCTGAGATGCACAGCCCTACGTGTTATCAGTGTCTGTGATATGCTGTAATATTGAAGCCCAAAAATAATTGCGCTTCAAAATGACCAAGAAGTGCTTCAAAAAAGTAAAAATTGACTGTATGTTATGAAAACCGTTAAGAAAACAAATTTTTATATTTTGATTTCCAATCATAAATATCTTGATAATCAGACAGGCGATTGGCTTGTAAAAGTCATGGGGTTCCTGACTGACCTGAAGGGTTATAATTATCATTGCAGCATGAGCTAAATCCAGGATTTTGTATAAGAATCTGAGACAAAGTTACCCAATCCCTTTAAAATCTGTCTAAAGATTTTTTTTTTTTTTTTTTGGGGGGGGGGGGGGCAGAGCACATTGAGTGATATAATAGAAACATGATTTCAATTTCTGCAGGTTCTAATATCCATGTTTATCAAATATCAGTACAAATTTTGATCCATTAAATTTACAATTCAATATGACCCAAGCGAATATGCTCTTCATATCAGTAATATGTAATTAAATGAAAGTCCACCATGCTGCAACTACAATAAGCAATGACCTGTTGCTGCAATATGCAGTCACTTCTAATTCTATTTCAAAAACATATTGATACATTGATACATAAATGGGTACCTGGCAGGAATTAATTCCTTGAAATGCTAGAGCGCTGTAATGGCAGCCGTGCTAAAGCTAATCGGGAGCACCAGGAGTGTCAAGTCTGACAGACATGAGCACTATACAAGAACCCACTATTATTATTATTATTATTTCATTCAAACACATGAATAATGTAAAAGTTAACTGAAATCACCAGTGATGCTAATATCAAGTGGAAAACTAAATTCATCATATCTTCTGTAATTTCTTCCCCTATATTCAGAGTATTGACTATGACAAAACAAGATCTACTGCCTAATGAAAAAGGAAATATTTGGCTACCTTGACTCTTTCAGCGAGGGCTCTCTTGTTCTGTTGGTTCAAGTCCTTGATCTCATCATTCAAGCCGTCAACCTCCCTCTGATCACCCATGCTAAGCTGTGAAAGTAAATCGGTACCTGCAGGGGAAAAGAACAATAAATGTAACAGCCAAAACATCATTGTGTCTTCTATTATGATATGAACAATTTTATATTCCAATAATTTGGTAAGGATAGACCTTTGGTTCCTTAAAGAAATGTTATTATCAAATTATATGAAATAGCATTCCAGCAGCCTTTTTTCATTAAGAATTTTTTAACATTGTAAATTATTTTTGTAATCAAATTGACATAAAAATTACCTTTAGGATTCCATTTGAACTACATGCATCCCTGAAATATATTGAGCAGATATTGCAACTCTTCCTATACCCAGATTCAGGAAAATTTTGTAGATGCCTCACTAATAATATGGTACATAAGAAAGATGTTGTATTGCCCTTTGTGACCAACCCAAAAATCTCAAAATCTACTGTCAGCTTTTTTAAGAGGTTTTTTTTCTTAACCATATTTTTTGAGAAAAAAATGTATTAAAGCATTCAAAACTGAGAAATATAAGCCCAAAGAGGGAGTTAAATTTTAAATTTTTTTTTTTTTTAAAGATTTCCGACTGACTGGCCAATGTTTGGGCACCTAAAGGGTAATACAACATCTTTTTTTTAGGTTTTACAGAACGTTGTCAGCCCCACTTTTGTGTGTTCATCCCTCAAAAAACATATCTGACAATTTTGAAATTAGTTTGACTAATGTTAAAGCCGAGTATTTGTGCCTCACAAAGAAGCTTGATATGCCTACCAATTTCTTCTTCCAGTGAGGATGCCGTACTACGCATGGCCTCAAGGTTTGTAGCCAGACTCTGAAGACGCCGTTCCTTGGGCGCCATGGACTTCTGGATGACCTGACTCTCCTCTTTCATGATCCTCATGTCACTTCGCATCTTGTCGTAGATGTCCCTAATCAGAATCATAGAAGCAGCAAAGTTACTATCATGATTGCTGTTAATTTTTTTGGGGGTACTATTACTACTATCAATGTTAACATAATTATCATTATTACAAATGTCATAGCTTGAACTGAAGTGACACTGATCCTGAGTTCTGGTAATGAAATCATGTTTTTAGAATTTTTTTGTCAAAGGATATGTTTAGAAGTCAATCTTAATCGTAAAAAAGAAATTACTGCATGCATTGAAACAGCAAAAAAACAGACATGCACATATATCAGAAAGGATCATCAGTCCTGGGGCCCGTTTCACAAAGTCTTTTTTTCAATGACAAATAACAAAAATCAATGACAACTCTGCTGATAACCAATCAGAAGCAAGGATTTCAGTGGCTTATAATAAAAACTGTCATTTGTCACTGATGCCAAGTTTTGTGAAACGCCCCCCAGATATCAATATCTTCCTTAATCTCAAGATGACATGATTTTAAAATATCAATTGCCCTTTTATTTATTTTGACCCTCTGCCTTCAAAACTGAAAGCCAAACACCCTAAAACATAAATCAATTCCTTTGAACTAATCACCAGCTTCAAAAATCATTTGAGAATGCTCCCGTACTCGACTATGCATTTTAACCGGGTGACTCTGGGTATATAATTGGTGCTAATGGATTATTTTGTATACAAATTTCCATATTCCATTGTGTTTTAATTTCTACTGCTATTTTTTTTTTTTTTTATCTACAATACTTATTTTTCCAGGAACCTATAATATACAAGCACTGCTTTTGAATATTACATTCTACTTAATCTTTTTCATAAATTGAGAATCATTGAGACCTGCTCATTTATACTACATGTATTGTATAATTTTTGATTTTTATATGTATGTTTATATTTTTTTGTAAAATGTGGAACAATAAAAGAACAACTTGCAACTTACTTGTTCTTTCTGTTCTTGGTCTCAATCTTCTGCATGTCGCTCATGAGACTGGTGATGTCGACCTCGACCTTCTGGAGCTTGTCCCTCAGCTCCTTGTACTCCTGCTCCTGGTTGCTGAGCCGAGTCCTCAGCTCCACGATGCCGCTCTGCAGCTCCAGACGAGACTTGCGCGTGTCGTAGTAGCCTCCTGTGATGGCTCCCTTGCGACTGACCTGGTCACCTGTGTGTGTGGTAGGAGGGGGAAAAAAGAAAGAGAGTAGAGGAAGGAAAGGATAGGATGAAGAGGAGGAGGAGGAAAGGATGAACAGGAGGAGGAAGAGGAAGAGGAGGAGGAGAAGAAGAAGGAGAATGGGAAGAAGCAGGAGAAGAAGAAGAAAAAAGGAAGTGACAAATAGAGAAAGAAAATAAATCATGAGGGGAAATTTTGATTTTTGGTTTCTGGTTTCAAGTGATAATCAGAGTTTCCCTCAAAAAAATAAGCTTATTGTTTAATAAACTCAGTTTTTCGGTCATTAAACTTAGTATATCAGGATAAACTGAGTTTATCAGACTTATTGGGCATTGGGCTTGCCATATACATACGGATGGACAGACAACCAGAAAATATAATGCCTCCGGCTACTTTGTATAAAAACTTGAAAACCTTGAAGAATGGACGGTATAAGTCACTTACCTTCAAGGGTAACACAATCAAGATTCTGAGTGCGAGAGAAGCTGGTGGCAACCTCAATGTTACGACAGATCAGAGTCTTGCCAAAAACATGCTTGTAGATATTGGCAAGGGTATCCCCATACTCCAGATTAGAGACCATCGGAAGAGCATCCTAAAAGGATAACAAAAGCATCAAAATAAGATTGTTCAGGAGGGAACCAACAGGATATCGGATATTATGTATTTGAGAAGGCAAGTTGGCTCAGTTTGATAAAGAGTCTACCTGTCAAAGAAAAAAAAATTCTTTCCCAAAGTAGCTTTATTATCTAAAATCAAATGTTGGAAATCCACATTAAAGCTGATAATTTGGCAAAACCAAAGTTCAGCATTCTAAACTTTATATCTGATAACTAAATGTACATGACTATGATGGGACATTGAAGAAAGTTGCGATCAATTGCAAATCCCCCAAATCAAGCGTAAGGATTGCGATAAATAACGCCCCATTAGTAAGAGAAAAAGAGAGAGAGAGAGAGAGAGAGAGAGGGAGGGAGGGGGGTGGAGAATAAAAGCTAGATCTAGTTAACTTGATTTAATTGTTAAAACGTTAATCCTAACAAAATCATAGGAAATTTAGGAGACTGGTGGGGCGTTGCAAGAAAGTTGAGTTGCAATTGATTGCAAGTATCAGTTGCAACTTGCAATCAATCGCAACTTTCCTGCAACACCCCATCAGTAAGAGAGAGAGAGAGAGAGGGGGGGGGGGGGAATAAGAGCTAGATCTAGTGAACTTAATTTAATTGTTAAAAATTTAAACCAAACAAAATCCTAGGAAATTTAGGAGACTAGTGGGGCGTTGCAAGAAAGTTGAGTTGCAATCGATTGCAAATATCCAGTTGCAAAATCAATCGCAACTTTCTTGCAACGCCCCATAAGGCCTATAAAAAAAAAAATGTTGTATTGCCCTTTGGGACTGAAAAAGGTCGTTTTGTTTTTTAAACTGTTTTTTTTTAGAGAAAAAATGTATTAAAGCATTAAAACTGAGAAATATCTGCCCAAAGAGGGAGTTAAAAAAAAAAGAAGAGATTTTCGACCTACTGACACATGTTATGGCACCTAAAGGGCAATACAACATCTTTTTTGTTTAGGCCTAAGATTTGGACTTACTGGTGATTCAGGGTAGATAGTATCCCTGACTTCTAGACGGTTAAGAGGCATAAAGGTGACTTCACCAGCCATCTTATGTTTGTTCATCTCGGAGAGAATCTTCGTACTGATCGTATCGGTATCCACAATATGGTAAAACAATCTATAGAAAGAGATAATGGTTTGGAATAGCGTAAGGAGAGGGGAACTTCAAAACAAAAGCAAAATACTCGAAGGGAATCCAACAAAAATTGGCAAAGCAGACTGGTGAAATTCTGAACGAAATCAGACAAAACAATGAGAACGTCACAATTTGACACTTTACCATGCTTCCTAAAGCCTTGAGTAGAGAAAAAATATGTCAGTCTTGGGCTGTGTCAGGAGCGTTTTTAAGTAGATTTACTATAGAGTACCTAAGCTGTGACATCATAAAAATCTATTTCTCAATTTAAACTTCATTTTTCGAAAGAGCATCAAAAATAATGTCAAAATGTTGAATTGAATTGAATATGTTAAGTATTGGCTGAGATATGACCATCTGAATAAATAGATTTCAATAGGAAATCACTGTCATTTTGCTCTGGTTCATTATGTTATGCACAATAGCAAAATAACAGTGGGTTTCTTTTGATAATAAATTCATTCGGATGGACATATCTCAGCCAATACTTAACATATTCAATTGGTTTTCAACATTAGGAAATAAATTTTGATGCTCTTTCGGAAAATGAAGTTCAAACTTGGAAACTCTAAAAATAGTTTGTTGATGACGTCACACTTGACCACGCTAGGATTGACATGGGTTTGTGTCTGCTAACTAGGTATCTTGCACAATGATATCTTGCTATGTCCAGGAATACCCCCACTTTGGTTTATGATTGAATTTAATTGTTTCTTCATCGTGAAGAGAATATTTCCATCTGTACTATATTATAAGAAATATTATGAAATTCAGTGTTTCTTCCAACGAGTACATATGAAAAAAGGTTACAATGGATTAATAATAATAATAATAGTAATAAAGATAGATTTATTGAGCGCATAAAAAACCAAAGTTTCTCTATGCGCTTTACAAAGTAAAAAACAATCAAGTACAAGTATATTTAAATAGTTACAAATTAAGAACGAAATATAAAGACCTTAAACTAAAGACATGTAGCTAAGAGAATTCATTAATGGAAATTCTTTATTTTTCTTTGTTTGATGTCCGATCAGATTTACTTCTTATGAACCCTTTCTCTCTAAAAATAATAATAATATCATTTATATAGCACTTACTACTAATATTTGTAAACATTGTCCTATCATTACCCCAGTATTAGCCAAGCTACCCTGAATAATGCACTCTGGCATTCAAGGAAGCTCTTCCAACCAGCTACCCATTTATACCAACTTAGAGGCAAATGGAGATTAATGCCTCTCTATATATCCTCCAGAAAGTAAAACCTAATTTCTTTGGGCATCTACTTTTAAAGGCATCGTTTAACAATGTTGATCTGAAATGCATGGCCCTACGTGTTATTAGTGTCTGTGATATGGTGTAACTTTGAAGCCCTAAAAAAAATTGCGCTTCAAAATTATCATGAATGATTCAAAGAAGTAAAAAATCTTTGAGTGACCGGTTTTCCCATACTCATTTCCCCCATAGGCTGTTGTTATATAAACCGTCAGGAAAACAAATTTTTAAATTTTGATTTCCAATCATAAATGTCTTGATAATCATACAGGCGATCGGCTTGTCAAAGCCATGGGATTCCTGACTGACCTAAAGATTTATAATTATCATTGCAGCGTGAGCTAAATCCAGGATTTTGTTTCACAATCTGAGACAAAGTTACCCAATCCCTTTAACTGACCTGCTGCCAGCAGTGACCTCCACACAGGTGTTAAAGCGAGATGCGCAGGAGAAGTTCTCGATCAAGACGCCGTGGTAACCTTCCTGGACTTCTGGATGGATGTTCTTCTCGCGGAAGTTGTCCAGGACTCGCTTGATGCTGTCGATACCTCGAAGGACAGCCTGGAAGAGAATGAGATTCAAATTAGAATAACCAGGGGGGTGTTTCACAAAGATCCTAAGCCAAACTTAACTCTAAGTTGGACTTAAACATTATGGAGAGCAATTTGTAGCCTTAAAATGAAATATATTCAAAAGCAAAATTTCAAATATTTTAGACTTTTCATCAATTCCACATGAAGAACATGAAATTTCATTGATAATAGAAAATATGAATGATTTACATCAACATTCTATGCATTTTGAAATAACTTTTACAAAATATTTTCATAGATGCTAAAGGCTTTTCATAATTGCTAAGTCCAACTTAGGACCATTGTGAAACACTCCCCCGGACTTAAAGTAATGGGCAGTTCTAACATATTAAACATGGACTTGACATTCAAAACAGTTTAGGGTTATTTAAGACAGTTTTAAGCAAAATTGAGAGTCCTGAAACAAATTTCAGATGCATTTGATTATCAGTGACATACAAAGCAAATTTCACGGTATATACCGAATGTACTTCACTCCTACTGATATATCACTCAAAGTGAAGAGCTTATTGAGCTCTTCTGTTTGATAACAAATTTATCACAGTGGCACACAAAGTTACTGATGTTCACAGTGCTGAGCGAACTACAATGTCTTTCACATCCTACCACATACCCATTTAACACTTGGGTGGAGAATGGCAAATTTGGATAAATGTTTTGCCAAGGACTGAAGTGCCAGACTGGGATTCGAACCCTAAGCCCTTGAATTGAGAGTCAAGCAACATACCAGTTCGTAGATACAATCTGTGCATGCACAGATAAAGGTCACTTGTACAAAATTGTAAAACTCACCGAGACTAATGCATGCACCTGTGATATATTCCATTGAATACAGGTGGAAGTAATCCTTTCAAGAGGGCAAACAAAGAATCACCTCCATGACTTTAGCTGTGACTATTCCAAAATGCACAAAGTGGGATTATCTATTTTTTAAAAGATCTGTGGATATTTGGGGTCATCGAACCACTACAATACCACCATGTTGAATATGTACATACCTTTCCTATCATAGATCGGAGGGTTTGTTCCTTCTTGTGCAGTTCTTCTCTGGTCGTAGCAATCTCTTGCTGAATGCTGTTCTCCTGTCTCCATAGAGCACTGAATGAAACATATCACAGAGAGCATATAAACATGTTATATAAGGTCAGACCAGTGAACTTCTACACTTAAGTATCTGCTGGATAACACCCCTCCCTAACGATTGCGAAGAAACCCCATCCACCAAGGACAATTAGCCTTGCCACAACTGTTACGATATGCTATATCCGAATATCCGGTATCCATCATAGTTGAATAAACTTCTTAGACTACACTAAGCTACGCGTCTTCTGTGTTCTTCTTTATCTTGGCTACCAAAACAATCCAGTTTACCGACTCTCTATTATCCTGAGTAATATACAAAAAATTCAGATGTCAACACTATCCAATCTCAACACAAGGTTCTGATGATTGTAATATTGTGTTGTTTTTTTTCTGGTGTTTTATCATTAGCAACAGCTTTTAGTACAGATCACTCGATCATTCTGCTTAGCTATTCAGCAGTGACAAAGGAAATACACATGGTTGAAATTTACGCCTTACTTGCGCTCATTTTGGAGGTCATCCTTGCGTTTCTTGAGGTCATAATGGCTTCTGTTGGAGCCTTCCACCGTGTCCTTCATCTGCTCAATGTCAATGTTCAGTTTGGCCATCCTTCCCTCCAGATCTTCGTTCTTACGGATGTCAGATGTGATGTCATCACGCAGCCTTGAGATCTGGTTGCATCAATAATGCTTTTGTAAATATCTTATTTTTATTCAGATTCCTACTGGGACCTACAGAATACAAGCTTTGCTTTTTAGTAGATCCCCCACTTTATTTAGCTTTTTCAATGTATTTATCATACTTATGATTGTATCTTTTGTCACAACTATTACCATGTACATTACCATGTACTTAAAAGGCATGTATATCTGACAATTTCAATTGAATGCCAAAGATAGTTGTCAATTCTATTCATTTATATGATTGATATTGAATTGAACTGTATTGAATTAATCTGGTTTGTTGACTAAAAACATACATTAAAAAGAGCAGCAACAAGGTTGAAACAAATTTGATTAACAAAAGGGAAAGAGTTACACTATAAATACAGTACTTACATTAAAAAATGATTCATAAAATACAGTAATATACAAAATAAGAATAGCACTGCATGATACAATTAACATGGAAATGAAAAGGACAGGGCCGAGGAGATAAAGATCGAAATAGAAGAAAGTGATGTAATCGTAATAATTTTTGCACATTCATATTTCCATAAACATGAGAGTTAGTCAGGTGTTCAAAATTAAGGATCTAGGCGTTTTACGTTGTATAAACAAATGAGTATGTTCATTACAGGAGCCTTTTTATGCACTAATATCGTACTCAGCATGATGGCTTTAGATGATAGATGCATACAGCCTCAACTCTAGTCTTGATAGATTGTATAATGAACTCAATCGCTTGCATCATTTGTACAATATTAACTTGTTCGTACCTGTTCCTCTTTGTCCTTGATGGATTTGTTAAGAGCTTTGAGTTCTTTGCGGATCCATTTGTCCCTATCGTCTCGGGTGGTGAATTGGTTGCCCCGACCCTGCTTGGCAAACAGCTCCGTACGACGCTGCTCACATTGCTGTAATCTGGAAGTAGAGAGAAGCGATTTTCATTCCCATCCAATCCAATCTATAACCCCGGTGCACCCTTTAAGATCTGAATATGATCCGATTTAGGAAGAATTTGCGCTGGCATTTGATATATGAAGATTCCAACATGTACAATCTTAAAGACAGAGGATCTGAATGGTCAAATGATAAATAAAATCTACATTTCAGGGACGTTCATGCTAGATGATTAGACAGATTTGTACATGTCAAAGAAATGGCAGCTGCATGCAACAAAGGACTTGCTTGTATTCACTGAGCTCTGTTTAAGATATATAGAAATGTGATGCGTATTCTACTTTACGTCAACATGTTTTAAAAAGCAGCAGTTTTGCTGCAACATATCTGTAGGAGCCTTTAGGTTGTAGAGTCAAACCTGCTTTAGTGACCACCTGTCTACAAAGACCACATATTTCATTTCCCTTGAAAATGGTTTATCATTGAAACATGTACTAAAGGAACCTGTCTACACAGACCACGTTTTGTGTTTCCCTTCAGCGGTCACAAGCCACAATAGGGACTTTTAGATTTGCGTGGACTGATACGTGCGACGTCCATTCAAGGCAGTGCATTAAAAGGACGTCGATCGTAGCAATCCACGTTGTCGTTGTGCAAATCTTAAAGTCCCTAATCATCACAGCTAGCTAGACACCCACCTGGCTGTGCACTGCTCTTCCTCCCGTTGAAGATCCTCATAGCGTGGCATGATAGCTTCCAGCTCTCCTTGCTTACCACTGATCTCTGTGTCTAACTTCTCCATCTGGACCTCAATGGTACCCTAATAGAGATCACATAAATGACGTCAACTCAATGTGGCGTAATCTTGACAAAATCACAAAGTGTAAGTACTTTTAGGAGAATAAGATAAAGAAAATTAAAAATCCTCAAAATCAAAAGTTTTCTCTAGTCGTATAAACTATAAGGAGCTGCCGTTTTTAAAATGTATTTCTTTTTCATTGACGTTACTAACTGCAATAAGATAACTGCAAGGAAACCTTTCCTTTAAAAATGTAGATAATACTACAGGTTTTTCTTTAGTACCTGTATTGCTTTTATAACGCAGTTGAAAAACAGAGAACATCATAAGAAATATTTCTCTGTATTCACTTAAATTGTTTATCTTGCTTTCTAAAACACATTAACATAAAAAGATGCACAAACGCAACCAATATCATTTGCAAGTAGAAATGTCATGCAGTTTCTTTTAGAACAATGTAGCTTTAAAACCAAAATGTCATTGATGCCAATATCAAGAACATGTGATCAATTTAGCCCTTTGAAAAATCCTGACGGGAAAATATAAAATGAGAGTATATTATTCACCTTGGCATCCACATCCCCCTTGACTTCTTCCTGCAGGTCTTTGACGGATAACTCTAGCTTGGCACGTCGCTTGATCAGATCTTGTCTCTCATTGGTCAGGTGATCTCTCTCCTCATTGGCCGTTCTCAAGCGACCTTTCAACTCTCGAAGCTCCTTGTTGATCGTCTACAACAAAATTAGCAGTGAATAAAATTGATGGTTAAGACTTTCTGTTTTTTTTTTCTTTCTATTTTTAATTATCCTGCCATCTGCTGCTCACAATGTCCTAATATGTTGACAGCAATGTCCCACAATGCATCACCAATCGCATGACATGCGCATGATGATGTTTGGGTACAGGAACCGAAAATCCCTCCATGTACGCTTTCACCGAAAGAGGGCACGATCACAAATACATACAGTATCTGTAAAATACCCAGCCTTTTAAGCTAAACAGCCTAAAAATAATAAGTATTCATTTCTATAGCTTGGGAGAATTCAAGCTCAGAATACTGTTTCCAATTCTAATTTCTCTGGTATTTTCAGGATTACATCTCACCTTACAAAATACCTGGAAAATAGAAATACTTTCTGTAAGATTTTTACCTTGATTCTCTTTGATGCCTCCTCCTGTGCATCTCTGATGTGTTTAGTCATCTCTCCACTATTCTCACGTTTGTTGGCAAGCTAAATAGGAATGAATACAGCAAAAATATTACAGAGCTGCCAACCTTCCAAAGCAATCAGGAATCTCTCAGGGTAAAAATTAAGCAAAAGTAGGAACACATTGTATTTTGTATAGAACTTTATATAGAAGTTTTCAGGGGGGAAAGGGATCTAAGGTTCATAACATGATTTTGGAGGCCTATATGCTTTCTGGTGCAATCTGGTAATCTGATCAATATGTTTTTAACACATTTTATGAATATTTCATAAATACTTTAGTTTAGAAGGAATGTCAACCTGTTGCGAATTTATCAAACTAGTACAATAAAACTTAAAACCTGTCACTATTACATGTTTTAACTCCTTGTGGACCGACCCGAGTGATACGAGAATGAACCATGTTCTGAGATTTTCTTCTCATGACTTACATCTTCAAGCTTCTTCCTGGTGTCCATGAGTTCCTGGTTATGAATGGTGTACTCGAGGGATCTAAGAAGAAAAAGAGAGAAAACAGCATGTTAATACTCGTACATCATTCACGTTTCCGAAACAGACAGTATGCACTAACTCCACAAGCTCCATTATGGGATACCATATCATATCAATGTCTCTTCTAAATTAAAGTATTTGTTTGTCTGACATTGCAACCTGAAAAGATAACAATTAATCCTTTGCCAAATTATATATAAAACAGGTCATCAAGATTTTCTCATCCTTGTTTTGTTGTAATGTTTTACTATGTGCTGAAGGAACCGTATGTCACAGGCCATTTGTGCCCCCCCCCCCCCCACCAAAATCCACCACTAATGGTTACAGAGTTACATTAATACTTTACAAAAAGTTGTGATTCATATCAATCAACTGTTTATAAAAGGAATCAATTTCAAAGTTGTGATTTTTTTTTGATTTTTTTTTTTTTTTTTGGGGGGGGGACTTGCGATTAATTTGCATCGATCGCAACTCTTTATCAAGACGTGTATGGAGGAAAATTATACCAACCTTCTCATTTTATCCCACTTCTGATACTGCTTCAGTTCCTCTTTCTCTTCCTCCAGCGTCTGCAGTCTCTCCTCGATGTACTTTAACAAATCTTGGATTTTCTCCCTCTTACCCTCTATAATAAAGTAAAGATAATAAAAATAAGACCGGTTTCTTCTATAACGCTTTTTATTACCAAGGTCATTGGATTTAATTACTATTCTGTACATTATAGTGCACATTCTTCACTCCCTGGGGAGCATTATAGATAGGGATTTATGCATATTGCATAGAGCTGTGCAAGAATACTCTATTGCTTTCACTCAAACTTATACGTCTCTTCCACCAATTCATTTGATGTGAGTAATACTATGACCCTTCTATGTTGTTTTCAGAAACCATTGCATTTTAGTAGAACAATGCATCATTAGGAGAAAATATTATTTTTGCCAATTTGAAGAACAATAGTGGTCCAATAATTCCCTTAAAAATAACCCTGTACTGAGAGGGATCTTTTTAAAATTCAAGAATAATGACAAACCTGTTTCTTTGAGGATGGTTTGACTCTCCGACTTTCTCTCGTCATAGACTCTGGTCCCAGCCACTTCTCTCAATAGTTTGAGACGCTGCGAGTCAGGGGCTGTAGCCATCTGGTTTATCTATCACAAGAAATGATCACCATCCAATTAAACTTTCATTGAAAATGCATGAAAGAATTATTTCAATCATATTAACTGCAAAACAGGTCAAAAGCTGATAAGAAAATCCCTGAAAAAAAAACACCCACAATATTATTAGAGTTATGTTAAATTCATAATATCCATTTCCAAGTAATACTGTAAACATTACTCCACATAAACTTTGTGTTAAAGGTGGCTTCTGTTGTGGCTGTTGTTGTAATTTCGAAGGGTCCTGAATATATCTGAGAGAAAAAACCTGAGGTAGAATATGGGTTAGACTGTATGAATACTGTATCAGCAGAAAATAGCGTTCAACCTCATGCTTGAATATGAAGCCCATTTTTTGGACGATCTTTATTTCATCAAAGACGTGGTGAGGTTTAAGGAGGTGTTTGGAGTTTGGGCACTAGGTTTGGGTTTTATGTCCTAGTTCTTATTTGTTATGGCAATTACCATGGTTTTACCAAGAAAGGAAGAAACAACCTCCCTCCCAGAGAACCAGCTCGCACCCTTACCTTTCCTTGTTTCACAACATAGTAAGGATTACTCCTGGAAAATCCTGCACTCTCTAGCAAGTTCATCACATCAGTTTTCCTAGGGTAAATAAGATAAATACAATTCAATTCATTTATTTGTTCAACCATCAAAATATGAATACAATCAAAAGAAGTTACAACAAAAATTTAGAAGACCCCGGAGAAAGCAGGGCTTATTATAAAAAGGGGCCACCAAATTGAAATACATAAAAAGATCAACAATACTTACACAAAGGAAATCACCATCAAACATTAATATAAACAAGGAAAAAAGATTAGTACACTTCTTGCAGCGGTAATACAATTTATTTCCAAGAATAAAAAAAAAAGTAGTGGGATGTCTTCTTGTAATCTATTGTGTATGGGAACCAAGTGGCCCCAATGTTAACGCTGATTATATTACCAACAGTATTAATTCTGATATAGCTTTCAATTTAAATCTGTTTATCATTTCAAAACCTCAGACTAGGCCTAAAAAAAAAATGTTGTATTGCCCTTTAGATGCCAAAACATGCATTGGTTGGCCGGATATCTTTTCCTTTTTTTTTTCTTTTCTTTTTTTAACTCCCTCTATAGGCTGATATTTCTCAGTTTTGAATGCTTTAATACATTTTTTTCTCTAAAAAACAGGTTTTAAAAAAAGCCGACTAGATTTCAAGATTTTGGGGTCAGTCGCAAAGGGCAATACAACATCTTTATTTTTAGGCCCTATACATCAACTTGAATGTACTACGTAATCAACCTTTTCATGGTGCTTCCACCAAACAGCTCTTCTCACAATGTCATTGTTTAACAAGCTCTCAACTTTACCTTTAAGTTGTATTGAGCAATAAAAACACGGGTATCAACTTACGTGACCATTTTCTTGTCCAGGAAGTACTGATCTTTCTTGGAGCCGATGACACGACGCAACGTCACCTCCTCTTTCTCAATCTGTACACAAAACACGCACAAACATCTCTTTAATTCTAGGGCCAGGGGATCCCACCACTAAATGGTATTTCCACAATAACTTTGTAGTATTTTTTCTGACCCTGTGCTCGCAGAACGAAGCCCTGAGCATCTTTTTTTACTCCAAATTCATGAACTTCAGACCAAGGGTTATTGTGTTGAATTCGAAAACTTTGCTATACATGATGATATTGCAATCTCTCTATAATAATACACACAATGCCCTAGCACTGTAAAATAACAATGTTTCTGTTTGCAGGAGCTCTTTAAGGAATTGGCATTATAAAAAAAAGCGTGATTTTCTGACAGCAATATTAAAGTATGCTTTTGTTTTCACCAAAGATCTTTTTCAGTTTAACAGAGCTCTTTTGGAGCTTTACTTCTTTTTTTGCTGAATCCTACCTGCCCCCCCCCCCCCCCCCCCTCCTCAAAACCATCCCATGATACTTACAGGAATCCTGTTGTCGCTGTTCTCAAAGATAATCTCAACAAAGGCAGAGATTACCCTCGGGCCAGTACCTTCATGCAAGAGACCCTGGCGCTGCTCTGGCCGAAGATTGTTGAACTCATCGCTGAGAACAAACTGGATGGCTATGTACAAAAGTAAACAATAGTATGTTGAGATTAAATTGCAGTTCATCTAGTGAATAACTAGGTCACTCACAGGAGACAAGGATGGTGGTCTAATAGGCAGGTTGATTCAGTACAGGTTTCAAGAGAAAAAAAGAAAACAAAATGAATGCAACAGACCCTGGCCCTGCTCTGGCAAAGGTTATTGAACCTATCGCTAAAAACAAACTGGATGGCTACATGTATGAACAAGAGTACACAGAAACATCTCAAGGATGAGTGGGGGTTCATTCCAAATGGAGAACCAGTATAATAAAGTCTGCTTAAGGGAAATAACAAAATTGGTCTTTATAGGCGGTCTTCGTAGACAGGTTACCTTTCTATACAGGTGGTCACTCAAGCATATTTGACTGTATCATCAAACCCAAACTGAACTGATCAGATCTGCATGATGAACTTTATAAATCCATTAGCAATTGGCCAAATCAATTACGCTGAACCAGTTACCAGCATTCCGATTTATCCTTTCTCATTTCAAGGCCATACACAATACTAAAAAATTGAAGGTAAAGACCAGTATTGGAAACGCCCCAATTTCAAAAAATGAAATGGAAGCACTTATTACCAATCATGTGAAAGAATATGTTTGAATAATACATGATGATAAAAATGTTGCCGATAAACCGCCTACGATACTAATTGATATATTTGGTAAATTAGTTTATCTATTGGGTGTGAGAGATAAAAACGCATGTGTCGCGCACGTGTACAGTGCTTGTAACTTTATGAAGACTGGGCCAAATTTCTAATCATTTTGATGATTCCAGAACCTTGCAGTACATCTATGCTAGATCACAAATCACAAATTGTCCGTCCAAACAGATATGAAATCAACCACTAACTCACCGCACTATTCATTACCACCCTAAATTTTGTAAGGATGAAGACAAAAAATGGCATAAGTATACTCTGCTTGGGAACATTTGTGTATGTTTCTAATCGCAGACTTACCATAGAAAAAGTTGCTTTTTCCAGATCCATTTCTACCAACTGTAATTTAAAACAAATGAAGACATGTTACATAAGAGAACAAAAGAAAGTTAATTGTCACACACAAAATAAAATGAAACTGCTATGCAAGTACAGATGAATTTTTGTCATCACTATCATCCTCATTATTCATCGTCATCATCATAATCATAGTAGTAACAGTATCATTAATATCATTAGTAATGTGCACTCTATAAGTTTACACCATTATTGTTATTATTATTATTATCATAATTATTATAATTATCCTTGTCATTATTATCAACATCATCATCATCATCATCATCATCATCATCATCATCATCATCATCATCATCATCATCATCATCATCATCATCATCATCATCATCATCATCATCATCATCATCATCATCATCATCATCATCATCATCATCATCATCATCACCATCATCATTATCCAGAACACATACACCTGTAAAAATCTATAATACAGAAAAAAATCACAACCCTTTGTTTTCATTATTCCATGTACATGTGTAGAGTGCTGTAGGATCCAAGGATCCTGACGAAACAATGACACTTCATTGCCATCCAACCTCTTGGCTTGACACATATATATATAATATATCATATCAAAATACAAAAAAAAAACCTCTTAATTTAGTCAAGAAAATACCTCCAGAAAAAGATCAACAATATCGGACTAACATACAATAAAAAGTGCTTAACATCATGATCATTTTGCCAATGACTAGTAGTTGTTTAATAGTTTCATTCCCATACTTGTGAAATAATTTGATACTCACCAACAACATTGTGCTTGGGGCTGAAAGGATCCACAATAGTTTGGTCCCTGTAGGATCGGAACCCTTGTATCGTCACCTAGAAGATAAACAATTAGAAATTAGAATAATGGTGGAAGGTACAATTGAAAACGTTTAATTGACTTACTGTACACAGGGTGGTCCATGGCCATAAACATCTCCTAATACTAACAGTAATTTTGAGTAGTTTGTCTTTTCTGATGTTCAGTTCTGAAGAATATCTATGTATGATAACGTACCTTTGTTTGGGTTTGTTCTGGCATGTATTGCAGCTACAAGTAGCTATGTGTACCTAATGGCTGTTGCACATTCTTCTGTGAGTCTCAAAGCTCTCAAATACAGCTGTACGAAACTCACCAGAATTCAATAAAAATTGGCACTTAAGCGACTAGATAGAAACAGTAAAATCCTTGAAGGGATTTCCCGGATCTGTTATCTACCAGTTCCACAGCAGGCAAGCCTTGTATATTCTCTAGTTTTCGTACCCATCAACTCCATTCCTTCTCCAAATGTGAAAACTAAATAATTTAAAACATGTATCCCACGCCGGCGCTCGCAGTGCGGAAAACTACCTCTGCGGTGATCAGAAATTGGAATATGAATTATTAGACAGAGAGATTGTGTGTGCGCTGCGATATCCAGCTGCATAGATTTAATTATGCGATGAGATACTTTTGAGCTTGCGACTCACACAAAATCGGGTTCTAAATCTGAAAAATACTAGAAATATAGCTCATTTTATGGTACCCATTTTCCTTTACGGACATACGTATGATACTCAATTTTTCAGATTCAGGAAGGGGGACCGCCGATAACATCGCTAAAATGTATTCAAGGAAATATTTTCCATTGCAAATGTGGTTCTTCAGTTACTCTGGCAAGCATGTTATTGGTTAGACCGAAAGCTTCAGTCTCTATATCGTCGGTTGTTCCAAAAAACTACGTCTGGCTCCACTAGACCTTCGGATATAGAGACTGAACGATCGCCTATGCCATCGTACGTTGAAGATACAGTCTACGGGTATACGATAAGACGATACTGCCCTGACGCTAAGTTAAATCCTTTTTTTGTTATAATCACATGCACTATCATTTACAATTCGAATTTAAAATTAAACCACACATGATAAACATTAAGAAAATATGTACCTTGGACCTCTGCATATGAAATCTTCTTCAAAAAAGTGTTATTATCTATTCCACTTGACTGTCTTCAGACGTCAGCCATCTTGAATCAAAGTAATGAATATTCATGCCAAAGTTTTTTAGTCTCCACCCCATTGACCTCATTCATAGACGTGCGCGTACGTGCACGTACATGTACATCACGCTGCTGCTACTCACGTTTGAGTTCTCGTGTTGTCTGCTTCACGTGCGCGCGCTATCCTCGACGTGACGCACGGAGGAGCTAGCCGAGGCGAGGTCATTGAATATTCATTAGCCACCATTTTGATTTTTGTCGGTCAATGCTTGACGTGGGTCATCGAGAAGCAGCCAAAAGCTTGGTAAGTCCTTTTATTTCTGTTATATTTATATTTCGTTGGGAAGGGGGGTAAAAAGGGAACTTTTAGGGACTGACAATTGCCTAGAAAATTACTGCAATTGAAGATAAATGATGTATTTCCCCTTAAGTTTGTGATGTTTGTGGGAGGGGCGTAACGGCTAAAATCTAGCCTTGATATCTTCAACATACGATGGCATAGGCGATCGTTCAGTCTGTATATCCGAAGGTCTAGTGGAGCCAGACGTAGTCTCAGTGGAACAACCGACGATATAGAGACTGAAGCTTTCGGTCTAGTTATTGGTAGACCTACATATGTGTGGGATATGTGATATTAGATCTAAAGTCCTAAACTCTATTATGCAATGTCTTTTAAAGGGATTTTACCATGCATACAACGGACCGGCCGAAAACTGCTGAGGCGAGGGGCCGAAAACCCCCTCCTTTACTTGTTTTGAGAAACGGGACCGCGCCCCATCGATCCCCAGGGCCAGGGGCCAGGTAATTATTTTTAGGATGATCTATCTTAAATCGACTTAGATCTAGTCTAAATCTTAGGTCTAGAATGCCTTGCCCTTGGCGGTGTAATTTTGAATAATTATGTTACATTTGTGTAGCCTACAAATCATGGTGGTTTACAAAACTAGGTTGGTTAAACTAGGTTGAGTTAGGCCTAGAGTCTAGATCCTAGCCCTAGACCTACTCGAGTCGAACTTAGTTTGGTGGCAAATTCACGAAACTGGCAATTCACAATTAGGATCTAGGGTCTAGATCTAGTCCACGAACATGACAAACATGCTTTTTAAATCATACTCAGCTCATCATACTCAGTCAAAACAACCAGATGTAAGGTCCTAAGGAAAATATCTAGATATAATTCACAGCATTGTGACGACTGTTGACCTGTTGGTGTCTCTTTCTTTTCTTTTCTTTTTCTTTCATTTTAATTTATATTCAGCCACTTCATACTGCATGAATGGGACCGAGAGCGCGAGAAATGACCGCTATTCGTGGAAGTTCAAAATTCGAAGTAATAATTACCTGTTTTATGTACATCTTAAAGCTGTCACTTCAGTAATAGATTATTTCAACACATTTAACCTTGATTAGGGAGATGCTCAATCGGCTGTAAGTCCATCCAAAAGGCTCGACGCCTGAAACGCCTATTCAGAAATCGCGAGTTGTCTCAGCCGCTGAAATTCAGCTATTGTCCATTCAATGATCCAATGAAAGCCCGGTCTAGCGGCGTAGAAATTCGCATGAAACTGAACGCTCAGCTTGCAGCTAGCAAGAAAAAAAACTAAACAAAATGGCGCGCTTTGTTCAGGAGGACAAGTCTATTTTTATATAGGGGTATAATACGGGATTGGATTTAAAAGCTTGTCAATTGACAGCTAAGTACACCCAACTTCATACTCATTTTTACCCTAAATTGAATTAAAAACTGGTCATGAGTATATGATGCAAAAATAGTAAGTTCAAATACTGTAAAATATAAGACAAAATCCCTATCTAATATTTTGTTGTTCTTTCATGAATAATAAAATAGGCCACACTGACTTAATTTTGATATGTGTTATTGTACTATTTTGTAGATGGATCGGGGACCGAGTGTATGGTAGAAATTAAGAAAAAAAAAAATCATTACAGAGAACAAAATGTGTCGTTTTATTAATCTGTGTTCTAAAATTATTCCTTTATAAACACTAGAATAATATCCGAAGTGTTTATTTAATATATTTATTAAATTATTTAAATTCACTCAGGAGTGCGTGAGAGGGGGGCTAGCTCAGATGGTAGAGCGCTCGCTTAGCATGCGAGAGGTACCGGGATCGATGCCCGGGTCCTCCAAAGGCATGGAATTAATTCCATTTTTTTTTCCCCCTGACATCTATAACGGCTTGATGGTGACTCTTCTATTCTGTAGTATACTTAGTACAGTTAAACCTGCTTAGTGACCACCTGTCTACAGCAAGCACATTTTTTGTTACCCTTGAAAATGGTTTTCCCATTTAAACATGTACTAAATGTCTACAAAGACCACTTTTTGTGTCAAGTTCCGGACTTGGGCGCGGGTCGCTGTAGACAGATTTGAATGTAGTTTGTCGATATTGAGTATTTCTTCAAGTTCCTTTCAAATTTCTCAAATTTCTTGCTCGGTTGCAACATTCCCTCGCATATACATTAGTAAGTAGTAACTAGTAAGTTTAACTGTACAGTAATGTAGAAATCCCTTAACCGTAAGTACGTATTACAGACAATCGCCTGTGCTAGACAGGGCAATTACTGATATTAAAGGCATTCTATGAGGTTAAGGGGGCGTGGTTTAGAGGATGATAGGTGGGAAGATGCCTCTCTTAGCAATTTGATATAATATGTCATGATAGTCAATGACTCTTTAGATGACCGCAAAAGGGCACATCTGGTAAGCGACAGCTAGTGGGAAATATAGAAAAGAAAAAGGACTCTTATCAAGAACAAGAGGAACTTATCTTGCTTTAAAGGGGCACATAATTATCAGAGGTAAAAAAAAGGGGGCATTTAAAAGAATTAGGGGAAGGGGTACTTAACAAAAAGTGAAAAGGAGCACTTATCAGAAGGGAAAAGGAAAAGTGCATTAATTAGGAATGGAAAGCGGCCGTGTCAAAGTAAAATGGGTGCTTAACAGAGATGAAAATTAAGGCGCACTTATTTAGAAGGGGAATATGCACTTTATTACAAAGGAAAAGAGGCATTTATCACATTTGGATATTGATGCTAATCATAATAGGTGGAAAGGGGTATTCATAAAAAGGGGGCACTTGTTAAAAATACAAAGGGGCACTTATTAGAAGAGAAAAGGTCAATTATTGGACATGGAAAAGGGACACTCATCGCAGGTAAAAAGGGGAAAGGGGCACATAATAACTTGAGTAAACAGGGTCATTTTTTCATCGTAAAAAGGGCACTTTTTGGTGTACTTGAAAAAGTGGGACACTGTGCCTCCACCCTCCCCCTTGCTCCACAGTCTCTGTGATTGATTTCATATCATTCTTTTGTCTCGCTAGGGAGACGGGAAAATGATTTGCCCTATATTTTTGGAGAGAAAAACACCTCCCCCAACCCCCAGTTCGGAGCCTACCTTGTGATTGAGGGTTTGTTGAGTATATTATGAAGCAGTGTGTTCGTTGATGTGTGGCGAGAAAGCGTAGCGATCTGAGATTTTGAGATTGGAGTGGCGACACAGCGTTTTTGTGTCTTTGTTTTTTAGAGCAAAATTCAAATTATTATACATACTATATCTAATTGTGGACGCGACAGTCGTGGACTTTGTACGGGGGGAGGGGTTAAAAATGTCAGCCCTCCCCCCTCCCCAGTCAGAATAGAGTAAAGGCAAGTAAGCGACCATGAGAGCAAATTTGGTATTTTCTTGGGGGTGTGTAGTCCTGAAAAGGACTGTTGTTATCTTTCTTAGCATATAGTTCTAAGGAGAATTATAGCGCTTGGAGAGGATGAGTGGCTCGACACTACACACCCCCAAGACAGATTACCGAGTCAGAGTCCTTTCCAGGACTCCTCAACCCCCCCCCCCCTCTCTCTCTCTCTCTCTCTCTCTCTCTCTCTCACACATGGTGCACTCTCAAACCTACTGTATATCTACATCACCATGCAAGCCGACACTTACAAGGAGCATCAAAACATATATTGTACATTACAAGTCAAAAAATAAAGTTGATAATTTGGTACTTGCCTTTTTATTGTACCTTTGTGGTGGTGATGTTGTTGTTGTCGTTCTTATTTTTGTTATTTGCAGGCTAAAAGAAAGTCAACATTTATTATGAATACACAGATCTTAAACTTATGTGTTACAACTTTAGCATAATACGAGACGATTAAGGGGAGACAAAGTAAGATGTGACTTTCGTTGCGTGAGTAATGGTGGAAATTAGAAACGGTAGTCGTTAGCTTAGCCTATACCGATAACAACAGGTATGGTTTTTTTCAATCGTGTCTTACACAGTGAGTCTTTTTGAATCAGGAGAATGGTTAGAATAAAATCAGTTATGCGTGTAACTTACTAAATATTACGTAACACATATTTATACAAATAATATAACCTCTCAATATCCTATAGCAAGGGGGACTAGCTCAAATGGTAGAGCGCTCGTTTCGCATACTAGATGTACCAGGATCGATACCTGGGTTCTCCAATAGAGTGGAATTTTTTTTTCTTCCCCCCCCCCCCCCTTCCCCCCCCCCCCCCCCCCCTTACACCTTTAACGGCTTGGTGATGACTCTTCTAGTTCGGTTTAGTAGTTTGTTGATATTGAGTATTTCTTCAAGTTCCTTTAAAGTTTCGCCATTCAATCTGGAAAATTATCTCGCTCGGTTGCAACGCTCCCTCGCATGTACACTACGCAGGATTTTTTAAAGGGGGGGGGGGGTTAACATTTCTAAATCAGGCCGAAAATTTTGCAACGTCTAAGCGAGCCGCTGAATAGGCAGGGCAGGGGGGTACATTTTAAATTATTTTGTTGGTCCCAAAATTTTCGCAACGACTTAGCCAGCCGCGGGAATAAGCACGGGGGCCGGGGGGTAAGAGCACAGTAGAAGGGGAGATAAGGTCACTTTTTGGGGGTCACCTTAAATCAAAAATCACATACATAAACAAATTTGAGGGGGATTCAAACCCAAAACCCCCCGCTGCGTACGCGCTTGTGTATTACATAGATTCGCCTGTGCTAGTCCAACTCCTTCATTGTCTAAAGCTTTATTTCCTTTTTTTTAAGGGCAATTACATATAGTGACATTCTATGAGATACGTTAAGGACACGTGGTTTAAAATTATCAAAGGATGATAGGTGGGAAGATGCCTCTCTTAGCAATTAGATATAATATGTCATGATAGTCAATGACTCTTTAGATGACCGCAAAAGGGCACATCTGGTAAGCGACAGCTAGTGGGAAATATAGAAAAGAAAAAGGACTCTTATCAAGAACAAGAGGAACTTATCTTGCTTTAAAGGGGCACATAATTATCAGAGGTAAAAAAAAGGGGGGCATTTACAAGAATTAGGGGAAGGGGTACTTAACAAAAAGTGAAAAGGAGCACTTATCAGAAGGGAAAAGGGAAAAGTGCATTAATTAGGAATGGAAAGCGACCGTGTCAAAGTAAAATGGGTGATTAACAGAGATGAAAATTAAGGCGCACTTATTTAGAAGGGGAAAGATGCACTTTATTACAAAGGAAAAGAGGCATTTATCACATTTGGATATTGATGCTAATCATAATAGGTGGAAAGGGGTATTCATAAAAGGGGGCACTTGTTAAAAATACAAAGGGGCACTTATTAGAAGAGAAAAGGTCAATTATTGGACATGGAAAAGGGACACTCATCGCAGGTAAAAAGGGGGAAAGGGGCACATAATAACTTGAGTAAACAGGGTCATTTTTTCATCGTAAAAAGGGCACTTTTTGGTGTACTTGAAAAAGTGGGACACTGTGCCTCCACCCTCCCCCTTGCTCCACAGTCTCTGTGATTGATTTCATATCATTCTTTTGTCTCGCTAGGGAGACGGGAAAATGATTTGCCCTATATTTTTGGAGAAAAAACACCTCCCCCAACCCCCAGTTCGGAGCCTACCTTGTGATTGAGGGTTTGTTGAGTATATGAAGCAGTGTGTTCGTTGATGTGTGGCGAGAAAGCGTAGCGATCTGAGATTTTGAGATTGGAGTGGCGACACAGCGTTTTTGTGTCTTTGTTTTTTAGAGCAAAATACAAATTATTATACATACTATATCTAATTGTGGACGCGACAGTCGTGGACTTTGTACGGGGGGAGGGGTTAAAATGTCAGCCCTCCCCCCTCCCCAGTCAGAATAGAGTAAAGGCAAGTAAGCGACCATGAGAGCAAAGTTTGGTATTTTCTTGGGGGTGTGTAGTCCTGAAAAGGACTGTTGTTATCTTTCTTCTAAGGAGAACTATAGCGCTTGGAGAGGATGAGTGGCTCGACGCTACACACCCCAAGAAAGATTACCGAGTCAGAGTCCTTTCCAGGACTCCTCAACCCCCCCCCCTCTCTCTCTCTCTCTCTCTCTCTCTCTCTCTCTCACACACATGGTGCACCCTCAAACCTACTGTATATCTACATCACCATGCAAGCCGACACTTACAAGCAGCATCAAAACATATATTGTACATTACAAGTCAAAAATAAAGTTGATAATTTGGTACTTGCCTTTTTATTGTACCTTTGTGGTGGTGATGTTGTTGTTGTCGTTCTTATTTTTGTTGTT